CACAGATAGAATTTCTCAGATTGTGAAAAAGACAGAAGTGTGCAAACATGTTAGAGGCAAAAATATAGTCTGTTCAGGATGTATTATGTACAATCAAAAGTGGTAATTAAGATACAGTGGCAAGAGCAGTGCAGGTTTTTTCAGTCTTAGCGCAAGTGACTTAAAGTGACCTTTTGTACAGTCTGACAGCGGTGGGAATGAAGGCTCTGCGGTAGTGCTCCTTCTTTAATATAATGTCTTGTATGTAAAATTAACTGTTTTGTAATTCAATTCAATTCAATGTATTCTTGTATTGAGCTAAATCACAACAGTGGCTCAGAGGACTTTAGAGAAGGTGTAGGTCCGTAGGGAGTTGACCAATGTCTGTGAGTGTTGATAAATGTCTGTATTGTATTCATTATCCTGAAACCGTTGGATAGTTCTGTCTATTGCAGTGTACGCAGAAAAGCCTTGCATATTTTTCTCTTTCACAAAGTACAATTGGCACCGTTCCATATAATCACAATAATGTATCGTATATATTTCATTGTTTATGTCAAAGCTTAGAACAATCAAATTCGTCTCCAACAACAGCCGCCGCTCCAGACCCCTGTGAAAAGTGAGTGTCTGGACTGGGTCATATTCAGTAACTGAGAGCTCCAGGCTGTCAACGGATCTGAGCAGGAGGCCCTGACATTCAAGACCTAAAAAACGTTGTATAATTAACTGACGACACAGTGCATAGATCACTTCTTTATTATCTATATGGCGTCCTGTGCTCTATAGCTACCTGCCATGTCGGTCTACTTTTTAGCCTCAGGACACTATCTTCCCATTCCTCACATGTCTCTGATGCATTGACCTATTTTAACTTAAAGTGTGTTGGAATCTGTCTTCATTTTGGCATACACACCCTAAAACTTTTAAATGCCATTAAAAAAACAGGTTGAATCAATACTTGTAATGCCTCTACTTTGCTGATTTCTTGTCAGGGCCTGAGTTCTGTCTGCCAAATGCTGCTTTTAGTCTTAAATCGTAATGGCAGCACGTTGGCTGAAGGCAGCGGTAACACTTTCATTCAATTGTCATTCATTGCACTTCCTTTAATTGGCTTTAAGGTTATACAGATTATGGGAACAATTGGAAGACGCCCAAAATCAGCCATTGACACAGAAATTGTCAATTTGCCAACAGCAGATTATGAAACAAAAATAAATATAATAATAAAACACATGAGAGTCATTGTTCTGGGTTTTTCCAATGTTCATAAATGTCCCACATCATCAAAAAATTACAATGATAAATGTAATATGAGCTCAAAGAAGCCCAACAGGGAAGTGCTCATTGGTGAAGTGTTTCTCCTTCTCACTCTGGCTCCTGTTGACTTACATTGATATGAAACTCATTTGTGTGACTGTGTCTACTCACCGTTTTGGGATTTAAAATTGCTTGGTAGCGCTCACCACAATCGTGGTGTTTATGTTGTGGTATGGCCCAGATTTGAGCCCAAACAACTGGCCAATCAGGAGTCTCCTATCACCAAATTCAGCTTTAGCAGCGAGTAGCGTTAGGGTTTGTGCGGACAGACCAGCGGCGCTCTTGATTGGTGCTTGGTAACTCTGCAATTGCTATCAACAAAATGTGCATGAACTTTTGGCTCTATATTCCCGCTAAAATAGCCTAGCTCTTATTGGCCACTATGGGTGACGTCAGCACTCGGTCAGTCCACTCCTAATATATAGTCTATGAGTGATACAATAAAAGGTGCTGGCCTTTCTGGTTCTACCAAACAAAGCTTCTTTATTTCAATGTGGAAAAAACCGCCCACATATGAAACTAGAGTTAACTATCAATCTATTTTGGTCTGTCATGAATGGTGCTGAACTGGTATGCACATGTATTGATAATTAGTGATGTAGAATAGATTATAATAGCATGAAAAATTATGACAGAAATGTGCACAGACTATAACAAAACCTGATTTATCATATCATTGCGTATACATTTGAATTAGTGGCTGACATTATCCTCAATTTCAGACACAACAGCTGACAGACACAACTCATCTCCTTATTTCAAAACCTCATCAGAATTTTACAGAACACAATAACTCTGAATAATATCTCTGTCCAGATGGTAGCAGCTCAAAGTGATGGAATTGTAATTAGTGAGTGGCTTTCGTCGTCTATGATCTGGCCTTTGCCTCACCTGTGCCGATACTGCATTCTGCTTTCACATTCTGCATGACTTACCGTTGACTCTAGAAGAAATAATCAGGTGGTAAATGTTTTGACAAGTTGATAATCATGGTTTGTTTTGATGGGTGTGACAAACATGTTCATATGATTCATGCTTGGCAGACTCCTTGTTTTAACACAGGCTGATCAACAACACGGCTGACTCTATGACCCAGAACAAAAAGCTCAGATGAACTTCAGGCTCAGACACTCACAGAATCATAAAGAAAGTTTCACGGGAATCTTTCACAGGAACTTCTCTGTTTTCCATTTCAACGTTTACATTTTCCCCCAAATCATCTTTGCAATCATTGTTCTGAAAAAACAAATGCAGTTGGTGTAACAGATGTTATTTTAAACTGTAAATAAATCATTCGAAAAATATCATTATAAAAAATATTCTATTTTTAAAGTGTTTTTTGGGGGATTTTTACAAGCTCCAAGCCAAATACCAACATTATAGAAAAGATATATCTCACTTAATGAGATATTAGAATTAATTACAGAAGTAGTACTAGTAGTAGCAGTAGCAGCAGTTGTAACAGTAGCAGCAGTTGTAACAGTAGCAGCAGTTGTAGCAGTAGCAGCAGTTGTAGCAGTAGTAGCAGTAGCAGTGGCAGTAATAGCAATAGTAGTAGCAGTAGTAGTAGTAGTAGTAGCAGTAGCAGTAGCAGCAGTAGTAACAGTAGCAGCAGTAGTAGCAGTAGCAGCAGTAGCAGTAGCAGCAGTAGTAGCAGCAGTAGTAACAGTAGCAGCAGTAGTAGCAGTAGTAGCAGTAGCAGCAGTAGCAGTAGTAGCAGTAGCAGCAGTAGTAGCAGTAGCAGTAGTAGTAGCAGCAGTAGTAGCAGTAGTAGCAGTAGCAGCAGTAGCAGTAGTAGCAGCAGTAGCAGTAGTAGCAGTAGCAGCAGTGGTAACAGTAGCAGTAGCAGTAGTAGTAGTAGTAGTAGTACATTTTGAACAATATTCTAAATTTCACCTGTAAGCAAGTTAAAAAAAAGTCTTAAAATGGAAATATCTTTTTTTGTTGTTGTTTTTTTTGGTTTTTCCTTCCATTTCTTTCCATTTGCTTCTTAATGAAATGGACTTCTGCACCATTCACCGTGTTCGCTTGTCTGTCCAACTAATCTTTGCAATTCCACTAAGAAGGTCTCCGCTTGCGTCTCGCTCCATTTGTCAGTGGAGTGGGATTTCTCTTTTGTGCATCTTGAATAGCCGCCATTAGATGAATTGCGTGTAATGCACTTGCAGGCGTTTTACCATCAACATGTCAAAAGTTTTCAAGTGAGTAGACTGTAATGACCGCTGATTCTGTATTGCCCTTTGTCCGTTTGGCCTGTACCAACAAAGACGTAGCATTTATCCATTTACCCACTCAACTATAGAACTCCTACGAGACAGCCTACTTTCTATGGCCGAGAAAACCCAATCTCCTCAGTCTTCCTCCAGCTCAGACGATTCAGTTTCTTGGTCTTTTGTGCGATAAGCCGACGTTGTAAGCGTTCTCACAAAAACACAGGCTAGAGGCAGGACACTCTTTACTGTCTGTGTGAGGTCATCTCTGGTTTGGAATCGGTGCGAGTGGAGATGACTGAATCGCCCCTTCAGTCAAAAATGACGTTTTCTGAAGCTTAACAGGAGTTGATCAAGTCTGCCCTGGGCTCAAAGTAACTGACACAACTGTGGAATACGGCAGAAAAAAACGTACTTAATTTCATTTCAGTTTATTTTGAAACATGTGTGCATACTTTATATATAATCATAAAAACAAAACCCAAAATTTCTATTCCATTCACATGTTCAAAAGGGAGAAGGAAGAAGCAAAAGCGTACTTAATGACCAAATAAGTGGTCTGAGCTCATTTATAGCTGCCGAAATGCATATGGAGAGTCTGTCTTTAGCTGAGTGTTTTGGTAATTCACTCGGTTTTTCTGTTATTAGAAGAGATTTTTCTATTATTACTGTGTCAAAGAAAGTTTTGAAGAAAAAAGTGCCAGTCAGGTTTTTTTGCCCAGAGAAAACTTGGAAAGCCGCTAATCCAAATTGTATAGGGACTGTGTGTAATATGCACAATTAGTGGTCTGATGAAGCCGTTACATTTTCAATCCACCGTATGTGTCCAGAATCTTCCTGCCTGTGACACATGTAGCTCCTAAGCACTGGTGAATGATGCAAACCACCTGCTGGGGTTTAGCTAGAAACAGTCCTGTGAATATGGTGTGACTGCCTGTTGTGTTGTGCTGTATGTTATTGTTTTTGTGTGTACACGCCGCAGAAAATGTGCTTTAATATAAATATATGTCTATCCTATCCTACGGGGTCATCACATAACAAAACAAAACAAGGATTTAGGAAATAATGGCTGCACCTGCTTGAATGTTGGCCTCACATTTACTGTATATACATATATTTTAATAAGTTTTAATATCACATGAGGTTCTGAGTACATATTTTAAGGTCATTATGTGATTTCAGAGGCCGACATTAGTGCTTTTTCTTATTTGATTTAATAAAGTCTGAGGATTTTGTGCCCAGGGCTGTAGTTTGGGCTGTTATCAAACCCATTTTTATTCATAAGGCAGATCTTTATCCAAGTCTCTCAAAGGATTAATGTGAAAGGGGATACTCTGTCAACGGTGCCCATGTCATTCACTTGACATCCTCCCGCCTTGAGCCCGTAATACCCCCCTCTTGGGTTCACCCACAGAGAATGAAGGACAGAAAAAGATTACATTTAACAACTGTAATCAATCTTGAGTGTAATCCAATTTATCTGGTGCATCACAGGTCTTCCAGAGCAATACTACAGCCTCACGTGGTTCTTGAGTCCGGTCTTGGGCCTGATGTTTACCCCTCTGATCGGCTCGGCCAGTGACCGCTGCACCCTGAGGTGGGGCAGAAGAAGACCCTTCATCCTGGCACTTTGCATCGGCACACTCATCGGCGTTGCTCTCTTTCTTAACGGATCACTAATCGGTACGTTATCCTCCTTCCCGTCCTTCCATTTTTCACTCTTCCTTCCATACTTTTTTTGTACTGTAGAGAATTATTCAGAACGCCATATTTAGAACGTCTTGAAGCTGTGAGAATCTATGACGCTTGACTCAATATTATATAAGTAAGTAAGTCATCTCCAGATTTCTCCAGTGTGAGATTAATAAAGTCTATCTTATCTTATCTTGGTTTATATAGTGTTTTTCACAGACCAGAGTCACAAAGCACTTTACACTTGAGGGCATTTGTCTCTCTCTCCACACAGAGATGGGAGCGAGGTTCATGTTTTTAGTACATGTTTTGGGAGCGAGGTACATGTTTTTGTGGTAGGGGAAGCCAGAGCACCCGGAGAAAACCTGCACAGACACAGGAAGAACATGCAAACTCCACTCAGAAAGAGAGTGGTATCTACCCAGTGTCGCCCAGCACATTTGAAATCTCATTATTGGCCTAAAACAATGATATAAAAGAAACGCTTTCTTTAACACGTATTTTCCGCCCCACCATATCGCTCTGAGCTCTTCCCCTTTACACAAAGTCACTGAAAACTTGGTCACATCAAAGGTTCTGCTCAGACCATAGATGAAGTTTGCGATCAGCAGATGTTTTTCATTAGAATGATTGAAATCGTGTAATTAAAAAGACTTGAACATACATGAATCCGTCTATAACTAGCACTGAGTCAAAAACCGTGAGCTATTTTGTTTTGTCCCCTTTAAGTTTGAACCTGGCCTCTTTTACCAGCCTCCTGAATAGATTTCACTGGAGACTTGAACTGGTAGAATAACTTAAACAGGTGTTCGTGTGCGAAGGTTTTACAAACAGGATTCAAACATTCCTATCACAATTTCAGACCAGTGGAAAGACTTTTTATGACCGTACTTTCAGTAATAAGATTATGTAACAGCGTTCATTAATCCTGGAGAGCTGCACTCAAGAGGCACATTTTGGCAAAGATTTAAGAAATACGATTAGTGGGTCTGCATCTAAATGATCTGACATTATGGGTGATGGAGACTTCCCAACAGTCTCATCTGATGCCGATGCAAACTTAAGTGGTACGTCATCCCTGCGGTAAAACTATTTACCCAGCATGCACTTGTCCTGGGGTATAGCATTTATAATTGCAGCAATTGGAGCATCTCTTGCCAAAAGCTGTCTCTGTCCAGTGCTGAAACAGATGTCAGCTCATTACATCACTCAGTCACACTAAGGTCATTATCATACGATCGCGTTCATCGATTAGCTGTTTGTGCGATTCACAAATATTGATCTGGACCGAGTCAGGACCAGCTTTTCTCTGCTTCCTGCATAATTATATATGTACATACGTAAAGAGGTGTTAACAAAGGCGACTGGAAGCGTTTCAGTGAGGCGAGATATGATGCATGATTGTTGAGAATACGTCTTAAAATTAATGTTATAAATTACACCTCATTCTTTTGTACAAATGCATTTCTGAACCTAATATGAAGCTGAAGCGAATGTACTGACTGAAAAACTGGGAGAACAAAAATCACAGCGGTCAAAGTCCTCCCGCTGTCGCTAACGGCAACAGCATCTGTCAATCACGCTCCGCTGCAGCGCAACACGCAAATCCTCACCTGGCAGCGATCAAGCTTCATATCACGGGGAAGCTGGATGCGGGCGGCAGCTTCACTCACGCTACAACCCTCCTCCTCCCCGTCTCCGCCTCGTTCCGTTTCGGCTCTTTCATCCTTCTCCTCAATCACCACCATCTCATAATCTCCTCCTAACCACATTTCTGTACAGCAATAATAAATGTAATCTTAAAATATAGTCTTCAGAGCCGTACGAGCTAATTTGTAGTGTCAAATCACAGCCAGCCAATATGCAATTCTAATAATCCCCATGTTTTGTCTGGATTGAATTAATGGCCGCATCAACGATCTAGTAATGTACAAAGTGTCTAATGGCGACTGCTTCATCACAACTAATCAACTATGAAATACCTGTAAACTAAACTGATTGATCATTTTAAAAACCTTACATGGACTTAAGTTTGTTCTTCCACTTCTCTGCCTCTGGGATTTCACATGTCTTTGCACCAAAACTATGCCGGAACCATCCGCCCTAATTAAAACCACACCACACATTCCGTACTGACAAAGCATGTGCCGCCCTGCTGCCGGATACAATAACGTTGCCCAACCAAGTGCTTTTGGAGCCGAAAAATAGAATTGGAAGTTAAATGAGTTTGATGCGGTGGTACAAACGACAACAAACGAATCGGAGGGAGAGGATTCTGTCAGCAGATCGTCTCCCTGTGCCAAGGTCAGACTGTGGAATAACAAACTCGGTGTGATTCGGAAATACCTATTTATGTTAAAGAGACGACAGAGGAGCAAACACTAGGCACACGCTCTGAGGAAGTTGTTGGTAAAATTAAAAATCAGAAGGTGATTAAAAAAAGTCAAAAATTGCTCAAATTTGGTTAAATGTATCTTAATTGGAGCACATTTTGTCTGAGCCTTAAAACAAGATTGGCCAATGTAACAAAGCAAAATTATCTAGAAATAAGTCTAAATGGCAAATCTCTTTTTAACACAGTGAGAACGACCTCAAATTAACATAAAAACCACTTGATTCAAGCATTTATTACTTCATATTTTTACTGTGCTTAAATCTGTGACTAGTTCTGCCATACTAGACTATACTACTAATAGATAATATAGTAAATGGACATACTGTATAATTATAGTAGTGCTGGAAAATGTATTTGTGATAGAATAACATTTCTATTCTGCATCAAGAAATACTGTATGATAAAAAATATTCTTATAGTAATTCATGGTAAAGCTGAGTCTGAAATCTATTGTTTATCATTATCTGATATAATAATAGAAAAGGTTTTACTGTTGCCAACTAGACAAAGAGAAGACCAAAAAGTACACTATTTATGCATTTTCATTGATTTATGAGTCTGTTATTCACATCTAGTTAAAGCTGGGGTATTTAACTTTCAAACCATAAACATAAATATAATGTAATCAAATACGTCGCTCTCAAAACCACAATTTTGGTTTCATACCTATTTTTCATATGCATTTATTTTTGACCACGACACATCTCTTAGATCAGCTTCTTTGGAAAGGTAAAAAAAAAGAGGACCAACCTCTTTCAGCCAATCAGCTCTCAGCCCAAAGCAGCAATAGTGACTCGCAGGGCTGTTTTTCCATGAATGTAACAGATCAAGTGTTTTCTAAGAGGATGAAGGCATGTGTGGGTTTGTATTGTTCTTTTATTTGATTCTTTCTGTTATTGATTGAGCCAAAAAGTTCTGTATCCCAGCTTTAAGTAATCACTGCAGCTTTATACAACATTAAAGTATTATTTCAAATACATTTTTCGAGCCGTTTCAGTGCATCGTAACAGTTAAAAGACTAAATGTAAGTCTATAAGTTTGAATCTGGCATGTCTTCGTACATACAGTGATACTTTACAGGCAGAAATCCTGGGAAACGGCTCTATGGTGATCTCAATGGCCAACGTGTGGTACGTGTGTTGACATGGGAACCCAGGAGCAGGCAGTTCACAGGGTTTCGCTTCCTGTTTGCTTCCTGCTTTCGACCAATCACGTTTGGCTTCCTGACGTGGTGCCTGGATACGGAGCCGTACCAGCCCATTGTCCGAGACCATGGCACCCAGAGGCAGACTCACCCTCTGACACCGTCTATCAACGTTTCCCCAATACCGCTGCGTTTGTTTTCCCGTGTCATATCTGGGTCATTCATAACAAGTCAAAGCTCTAAGCCGCTTATAAACAGGTCAGAGATGCTGCGAGGCAGACGGGGTTAACGCAATGGACTGTGGGTAATGAGTAGTGACAGGTGCCTATGCATAGAACTAATCACTGATTGATCATCCTTGAAAAGATTCTAAGGCCTTCAATAACTAGCTTTGCTTATTTTCCAGCTGGATGGGTTGGGTTTTTCACTTGGAAGATTGGCTAATATTTTTGTAATACGCTTCATTGGTTAAATAAGATGCGTCACAAAAACACACAACCTTTCATTCATTAATTTTCAACCCCTTTACTAGTCCATTTCTGGGTCGGGGGGTTGGCAATGAGAGCTGCCACCCAATGCTCATAGCACCAGGCCCTCTGATCCTCTGCAGGGGGTGGGTCCACAGGAGGATGGCTGCTGCATCAGTGGTGCCACAGCCTTGGTGTTTCAGCGAGAGCTTCAGGCCAAGTGGGGTTAAGTTTCTTGCCCAAGGACACAACGACAGCAGACAATAGTGGGAGCAGTTGGAGTGGGTCCTGTGATTGGCCCAAATGCCAATGCTCAACCAACCTACTGTCGCCCCAAATACACAACTTTTATATTTCAAATGTAACTAAAAGAAAATGAGAAAGTTATCGAGTTATTCAGTGTTTTTAAACGTTTGTTAGTTGCATTTTCAAGAGGGAATCCCCATATTATTGTCATCAGTTGTAGGTCACTGATCTACTTCCTGGAAAAATTTATCATTTTCAAGAGCCGTGGTTTAATCGATGTAAAACTATGATGTATTTAAAAAGAAGCAAGTCCGTCAAAAAAGACAAAATCTTGCAGATGGTTATTATATGAGTTGGCGATGTAGTAGGATGTTTGTAGAAAAGCCAATATGTTGATCCAGCCTGCTTCTTACCGCAATATAAAAGTATAAGATTCAGAGTCATTTATTTGCCAATTGCAGTAAAACCACATTGGAATACATCCACAAAAGTCCCCAGTGTCTGCAAGACAAGTACATATAAATACAAGATTAAAAATAAAACAATTAAAACAGGAAACAAACAAAACAGACAAACACAGTTTCAATACAAAGCCAAGATCATTTAAAGTGCTCTGTTCAAACTGATAACAGCTCGTGGAAAGAAGCTGTTAGCTTGTTAGCATATCAAGATGTTCTGCTTCTCAACAAACAATGTCTTCTGCCAGAGGGAAGAAGCTGGAACATGGCTTTTCCAGTGTGGCCAGAAGAGTCATTGATTATTCTAAGAGATTGTTTTAAAAGTCTGGAGTTATCATGATGATGGCAATAGTGCAAAACTACAGTATTTATTGATACAAATGTTGTGTGTGTGTCTTGCAGGCCTGGCGATGGGGGATGAGAAGGGCAGTCAGCCGATCGGGATAGTCCTGACCGTACTTGGGGTGGTGGTGCTGGACTTCTGTGCGGATGCCACGGAGGGACCGATCAGAGCGTATCTACTGGACGTGGCCGACACAGAGGAACAAGACATGGCCCTCAACATCCACGCTGCGTCGGCCGGTACGATTAGGCTACACATTCTCACATGATAACTGTACGGACCCTATTCAGTGACTTAATATCTTAATATTATTGACTGAGATGAGGTGTGTTTTCGAGACCAGAGCACTGTTAAACTCACTGCGGTCACTGCAAAGGACTTACAGTTTCTCTACAATAAAATGCTCAATATTGAGATGATAAATGCAGTAAGTGAACCATTCCTAACAAAGAGAGCTGTCTAAATGAATACACTTGATGCAGGCTTCTTAAATGCCTCCAATTAAACCAATCTTCGTTAAAGAAGCAGTTTTTCAACAACATAATTGTGTGTCCATGTTTTCATTCCTGTATCACTTGTGTCCCGCAGGTCTTGGTGGAGCCGTGGGCTACGCTCTGGGAGGTCTAAACTGGACCCACACATTTCTGGGAGCGGCCTTTAAATCCCAGGAGCAGATCCTCTTCTTCTTCGCAGCGATCCTGTTCACTGGGTCCGTGGTGCTTCACCTCTTCAGCATCGAGGAGCAGCAGTACATGCCGCTGCACGACCGCCTGGACCAGGTCACTGCCTTCTGTCTGTGCATCCAGATCCACAAGTTTAGTTTTGTATAGCCCTAAATCACAACAACAATCATCTCATAGGACTCTACAAAGTTAAATATGTACATGGATTGAAGAAAAGCAATTACTATTCACTTGTTGGTCTGGTTTACTTGGATGAAATGTAATGAAACTACATTTATTTTCTGTACAAAACAAAAAAATTCTCATTGTGCATTATTTTAGATTGAACAAAACTGATTGCTTCTTTGGCAAATCTTATTAAGAAAAAAGCATCAAAATGTACTAAAATGGTTGTACTAAAAGTAGTTGAAAAAGTCCTTCTTTTATTTAGTACTAAAAACAACACTCCAACATTGCTTTGGTTTTATGTTTAAAATGGCAGCTCGTGTCTTGTCCGCAGAATCGGTGCATCATTCAATGTCTGCTCTAAACAGTGCATCTTTCTGACCTCCGTGATCTGGTCTTCCCACAGGAGAGTCCAGACCCCGCTCAGTCTCAGCCGTCGTCCAATGGGAGGCCTGGATTACTCGCCCCAAAACTGGAAATGATCGGTGAAGACGAAACCATGGACAGTTTTGATTTGTATGATCCCTACGGAGATGACCAATCAGAAAACGATATAGACATGGACTTCCTGGATGTAGAGCTTGTGAGAAGTGAGTCAATTGAGATTAAGCAACGATACGGTTATTGATCGTTAATAACATGTTTATTTTCTGGCCAAACAAGGTTAAAACGTTGCATTTTTAGGCTTTAAACTTTGTAATGGTTCATCACATTTGACCACCATCGAAGAATCCAATGAAAGAAAGAATTAAATAGAAAGTTTATGAATATTGTCTTTTGGTCAGTTGCCATTTTGAGGCGCACTAACTAAAGAAATATAAACGTTGGGGCTTTTGAATAAGAAGTAATATGCTTCAATACATACTTTGTACTTTGGCGTGCTCAAAAAACAGCTTTGATTGTATAACGTGGAGAAAACATCAGATACATCAGATGTCAAACAATAACAGACGCAATATATAATTGTTTGACATTTTATTGTTTCTATGCCTTATCCCCTGTTGGATGAATAAAGAAGCCTGAGTCTGACCCTCGTTTGCGTTCCTCTCTCCGCAGGTAAAAGCGACAGTGTTTTGGCCATGGCGGACGCGACCTTGGACCACATAGAACACGACTCTTGGTTCCTGTGCCACCTGGAGCCGTCCATCTTTGCCGACCGCCTGTCTCCGTACCACTGCTCCTCTCCGCCCGCATCCACCTCCAACGCCAACATCCGCCGCAGCAGCAGCGCGGGCAGCCAAGACCTGCTCCGCTCGCAGCCCAACCACCACCCGGCTCCCCAAACGCACATACCCAAGATATCTCGCCTCTCCATGTTCCTGCAAGAAATGGAAAATGACGACGGACAAGAGGCTCTGCTCAATAACCAGCTGAACGAGCAGCGCACGCTAAACGGGCGGCTGTTAGCAGGAGCGGCTAACGGCGACGCTAACAAACTCAGCACCAAAGGACAAGCTCATCGCGCAGGGATGGTCAAAGGTGGGAGATGGGAGACCTTTGGGAAGACTCTTCACCCACATTAGAATGAGTGATGTTTTTAATGTGTGTGTGAATGGTTAGTGGTGTTGGGAGGGGCCGATGGCACAGACTGGTTGCCTCGCTTCTGGCAGTGTGCCTCAGGGCAGCTGTGGCTACAGTAGTAGTTTATCACCTGAAAAAAGCACTATATAGAAAAACCAATGCATTATTATTATTATTATCTTTGGAGAGGGAAAAAAGTGTTGATTCGATACAATTCCAAACGATGTGACTTGTACAACAGTTAATCCAAAAATCGTTTTCATTCACAGACATCACATAATAATAATAATAATAATAATAATAATAATGCATCAAACTTATATAGCGCTTTTTTGGACGCAAAGACGCTTTACAAAACACACAGAAATAAACATTGAAAAACAAAATTAAGGAAAGACAGAAACAGGTGGGTTTTGAGAAGAGATTTAAAGTTCTGTAGTGAGTTTGAGTTTCTGATTGGTTGAGGGAGTGAGTTCCAGAGAGTGGGGGCGGCTGCAGCGAAGACATGTGCAGATGTTTTTCCTCATCATCTTTTATGTCTTTCTTTTGACTCGACAAACAGCCACAAGATTTTTGATACTCTACACTTCTCTTCTCTGTAATAGAGCCGTTTTATTCACTGCTGCTTAACAAAATAGGGACATATTTTCCAGGAAAGTCTGACGCTCTGGTCTGGTCTGACGCATTGACCCAAAATCAAATTTAGACAAATTCAATTAAAAAACAAATTGATTTGCTTTTAAACTCCAAACACTGTGCTTTTACTGAGGATTGGGGGCTATAATAAGATCAAGGAACTTTTTTGAACGCTTAATAAACTGAAAACAAAAACACAAATTAAAGCTAGCATACCTAACTTTTTTGGATTCATAAATACATACTCTGTCTGTTCTAACAAAAAGTATTTACGTTTCATTTTAACTTATCAGGTCACAAATACTAAGAGCTGATTGGCTGAGGGAAAAAGACACACCCACAGAGACTGGCTTGAGAGCTAGGACATAGATACATGGATTTGATTGGGTAGATCTGTGGTTTCAAAGTTCATCATCTTTAATGTACGGTATATGTATTTAGAAATGACAGAAATGACTCAAAGCACCATTTCTGCACCGAATCCATTAAGAAAAAACGTATTTCCTGTTATTTACTTATTAACTCTTAAAATAAATGTAAAGGTCCAAAACAAAATAGTATTTGTATTTTTATTTTTATTTGTTCCTTTCATGAAAATACTTTGTTCACATACATTGTTCACATGATATTAGTTACAATTTATATTTTAAACATTTCCATGAAGACTGATAGACTGATAAATACAAGCATTTAGCCTTTTGCCTTTTGCCTGGTACAAGAAAACATGTATTAGCCCTCGGTCCTAAACTCGTCCCTGTGTGTGTGCAGCTGCCAGCACCGGAGCAGCCGGGCGTCACTCTCGCCATCGGCACACCTTCTACCGGCAGCCATCTTGCACGTTCTCCTACTACGGCCGCGTGGGGAGTCACCGCTACCGCTATCGCCGCGCCAACGCCGCCTTCCTCATCAAATCGTCGCGCAGCATGAACGACTTGTACGAAGTGGAGGCTCGGCACCAGAAAAGGGACAAGCAGAGGAACAGACACCGCAGCGGCAACACCAACTCCTCCAGCGGCGACACGGAGAGCGAAGAGGGAGAGGTGACTTTCTTTTGTTTTGCACAGGTCTCTGTCATTATCAAAGGAATAGAAAAACCTCATGAGAACTGATTGGTAAAGGTAACAGTGAATTAATTTCAAACCAGAGCCTTTCCGTCTGGCCATGTTAGCTCTAGACTCTAGAAGGAGTGGACTACCCAGAGTCCTGAAGTCACGCATTTTGCTTGTCCTTTAATGGAAGAAGCTGATTAGAGCTACCTCGAACAGGCTTTTTGGATGTTTATCTGGAGAATAATCCTGGCCAGTGTTAGGCACCAAGCAGTAAGGCACAAGACAAAAGCTTAACATTTCAAAAAAGATGTTTGTTATTGGCCACAAACAAAGCAGCAGAGGTGGGACAAAGTCATTGTTTAGCAAGTCACAAGTCAGTCTCAATTCATCGCCCTCAAGTCCCGAGTCAAGTCACGAGTCAAGACAGGCAAGTCCCGAGTCGAGTCCAAGTCAAAGGCCAACAAATCTCAAGTCAGTCCCAAGTCCTACGGTTTGACTTTCGAGTCCTCTCGAGTCTTTTTGACCGCGATTTGTTTCTTGTTGGTCTCCACGTACTTTTGTAGGCAAACAAAATAATGTTAGGAATCATTTTGCTGGTGCATTCTCGTTGGTCTCTGACCCATGGACTAACAGTTTGTTCCTCGTCGTTGGCTGCTGGTAAATCAAAACTATCTACGTGATCTAATTGGATGTTGTGCCAGATGCAGGCTCAGTTACACATGCACAGACCACACATAAAATCAGAGCAGTCCGTGTCAACATACTTTTTATCTTTGGGGTTTTTAATGGGAAGTAGCAAGTGCAGCATATATGAATATGAGTATTGGGCTAGGATCTGTATCTATATAATCAGTTTAATGTCCGCAGTGGTTATTGTTCCAAAGGACTGAAGGGACCAATGGAGGGGAAGGAACCTGGCCTGTATTAGTAATATCTCATAATTACCAATATATCATTACATAATAAAATGTCTCATATAAATTAATTCAATCAGTCAAAGCACTGATTCTCATATCAATGCACCATAAACAATAGTGCAAATATTAATCTAGCTTAGTGCACATAATCAAAACAACTATCTAATGTATGCAAACTTTAGCAGGAGGAGCACAGCAAAAACATACTCATAATAATAGGCCTCGGCGCCCACACAGAAAAATATAAGAAATAGCCAACAGAGCAGCGCAGGCTAGCGCTAGTTTGACTCACCAGTTCCTCTTTAAAACACGGCACACAGTGTGACAACTGCGTCGAGTCAATTGTATGAGGCGCCTGTAGTGAAAGCATATCAATTACGGTTTGTAAAACAAAATATGACGTTAGGTCGCGATAAATACCTGCAGCTCGCTCGTTTCCAGCTCCCCTAGACAACACACCCACCGGTGAATGCAGTCCGCTTGTTTAGGGAAGTGTTGCTGCGCGAACTGCGGGGAACTCACGTTCGAACTCTCGCGCGAGCGCTACAACTACCGCGAGGCTTTGTTTCTTCAGAGACGGCATAGATAGAAAGAGAGATGCGGAGAAAGGTAAAAATGGCCCGGGTTACGCAAGTCTTTGCAAGTCAATTGGCGCAAGTCCAAGTGAAAGTCAGAGTCATTGATGTTAAAGTCCAAGTCGAGTTGCAAGTCTTTTTACATTTGGTCAAGTCGAGTCTAAAGTCATCAAAATCATGACTCGAGTCTGACTCGAGTCCAAGTCACATGACTCGAGTCCACACCTCTGCAAAGCAGGCCATTAAAAGGGTAAAGAATAGACCTTTACAGGTAGTGTTGGTATGGACCCCTCTGACCAATCCAGTGAAACCAGAGAGTGACCTCACAGCCAGTATAAAGAGAGCTGGGATGGACTAGTTTGGGTTCTTGTCAACTCTCTAAGCAACATGTAGCAGCCTTATGCTGAGGCCCAGAGCCTTCCAGGGTTCTCTCTCTCCTGCCATCTCTCCTTGGGGTATATCTTTAAGATATTTATCTTTAAGTATCTTGTTATAATTCTGTGTCATTAAATGTCGTCTTTTATATCTATGCTTTATCTAGGCTCATGACGGCATCATGTGGGGGGTTAGCCATCACAGCCATAGCCAATCAGAAGCGACGCTGGTCTGTTCCTCACTACCCAATTACTCTCTCACTTTTTAGGGTCAAATCTGTACAAAGCCATGATCAAAATATTGCAAGGGACACACTTTAGCGAGCCGATGAGCATTGTCCGCTCCTTTTTACAAGTTTATGGTTTCAGCTCTGTATTTGTTGTCCGTCTGTGTGGCAGGTCGAGACCACGGTGCGTCTGCTGTGGCTGTCCATGCTGAAGATGCCTCCGGAGCTGCTGCGTCTGTGCGTGTGCCACCTGCTCACCTGGTTCTCCATCATCGCTGAAGCCGTTTTCTTCACCGACTTCATGGGACAGGTCATCTTCCACGGAGATCCCACAGTACGCCACCTACAACTCTGAGCATTCCTACTTTTTATTCACACTCGTTTCGATTATTCTGATGTTTTTGTGTGTGTGTTTTCTAGGCTCCTTCAAACACGACAGAATTTGTGAATTATCAGAATGGAGTTCAGATGGGCTGCTGGGGGCTGGTTATCTACGCTCTCACTGCAGCTACATGTTCAGGTATTGATTATGTCGTTAAAAATCCACATATTATCAGGGGATTAAGGCTGTTTTGGGAGGATTTAGTATCAAACTTGATTAAGCAGCGGATTGTCTTGTAAAGAAATCTGAATTAACTTAAATAGCTATAAGACGTCGTTATTAGCTAATACGTTCATATTAATGTTTTTATTATTAAACGGCATTCAATTTCACAAGCACAGAGAAACAGGCTGGGGTTTGTGATTTGAAATGACATTTTAGGCAGATAACCCTGTTCTTTTGTGCTTTTAAAAGTAAATGTTGCTTTATTTGTCCCATTTAAAGCTGGGGTAGCAAACGATTTTGTTCAATGAATAGAAACATGTTTTTATTTTTTACTTATATTTAGCAAACTTCTAAGAAAGAGCCCTGTGAGTCATTATTTGATGGCCTGAGATCTCACTTTCAAGTCTGAAAAAGCTAGTCTAAAGATTTGACGGAGGCCCTACATTGAAAACCATTGAATTTTGATTTTATTACGTAGTTCCGTTGTTTGTGATTAACTTAGGTCTCCCAGCTTTAAAGGAATAGTTCACCGTTTTTACATACTGACATATGTTCTTACCTTACCTTAGACTAGTTAATACGTACCTGTCTGGTCTTAGTCCGTGCGCTCTGTCATGCAAACGGAGCAAAAACGGGAGCACAAACGCAGCCTCCTCTGTATACTGTGTAGGACCAAAAGGTAGCTCCCGCTAGAAGCTACCAAACTCTTCCAAGTGTTCCCTATTAAATGTATATAGTTACGTGACGTGTTACACTGCAAAGTATAGTAACACAGAAATGTAACAGTCGATTTTCTCAGCGGATAAAACGGGTACTATATTGTGAGGCGTAGTAATCTGAGGAGCGCTACGTCCGCGCACAAACTTCTCTCCGGAGACTTCTCTCTCGCTCACTTCCGTCAATAGAAGCAGCGTGACTTGTAATACACACAGTAGCAGCGAGAGAGAAGTCTCCGGAGAGAAGTTAGTGCGCAGAGAAGTTAGGAGCGCTACGTCTGCGCACTAACTTCTCTCCGGAGACTTCTCTCTCGCTGCTACTGTGTGTATTACAAGTCACGCTGCTTCTATTGACGGAAGTGAGCGAGAGAGAAGTCTCCGGAGAGAAGTTAGTGCGCGGACGTAGCGCTCCTCAGATTACTACGCCTCACAATATAGTACCCGTTTTATCCGCTGAGAAAATCGACTGTTACATTTCTGTGTTACTATACTTTGCAGTGTAACACGTCACGTAACTATATACATTTAATAGGGAACACTTGGAAGAGTTTGGTAGCTTCTAGCTACCTTTTGGTCCTACACAGTATACAGAGGAGGCTGCGTTTGTGCTCCCGTTTTTGCTCCGTTTGCATGACAGAGCGCACGGACTAAGACCAGACAGGTACGTATTAACTAGTCTAAGGTAAGGTAAGAACATATGTCAGTATGTAAAAACGGTGAACTATTCCTTTAAGGTATACGTTTATAGCAAGCCTAGTACACAGGTTAAAATAAATAATACTATTCTGAACATTGTAAAGCGCTTTGGGAAACCTTGTCTGTAAAAAGGCACTATATAAATAAATTACTTACCTACCTGCCTGCCTACCTACCTAGCTACCTACTTACTTACTTACTCACTTACTAATGTACTTTCTCTGCTTTTCCAAACAGCAATTCTTCAAAAATACTTGGACAACTTCGACTTGAGCATTAAAATCATCTACATTGTGGGAACTCTTGCATTCGCGATCGGTCGGTGAACATCATATTTCACTTGTTGCGTGTGAGAAACGATGAACTAACGTGTCCTTCCTGTGTAGGCACGGCGATCATGGCCTTATTTCCGAACGTGTACGTGGCCATGGTCATGATCAGCACCATGGGCATCATCTCCATGAGTATCTGCTACTGTCCCTACGCCCTCCTGGGACAATACCATGAAATCAAAGAGGTTCAACACTTCTTTCTAACATCATGAAGTCAATGTCTTCAAATGTGTGTCGGTGATTAACATGGATCCTTTTCTCTGACAGTACATCCAGCACAGCCCGGGTAACTCCAGGAGAGGCTTTGGTATCGATTGTGCCATTTTATCCTGCCAGGTATGAACGGATTTCAGTCTTGGAACTCAGTATTGCATCTTATTGGACTGCACTGGAAAAAATCCCTTGAAAAAAAAATAAGAACAAAATAAATTAGTATAAATAAAGTAAAATACTGCTTGAAATAATAAAATGATCTGCCAATAGAACAAGAAACAAGATTTCTCAAACTAAGAAAAAAATACTAGCCCCATATTTCTTGATTCTAGTATAAAAACATACATTTTAATTATTAAATAGTTATTTCTTAAACATTTTTGAGAAATGTTTTCTTAAAATATAGCATCACATTCTTATTTTATTTAAACAAGAAAAGTTGTCTAGAAATAAGACAAGCTTAAAAACTCACTGCGCAGACTTTTTTTCTCTAATAAGATTATGAAATATTATTATCTTAAAACTAGTAAAATAATCTTATGACAAACTACATTCAAGCAACAACAACAACCAAAAATTAAAAAAAATATAGGCATAAATTATGTAATATTTAGTGGATAAATCTCACAAAGATTTTATTTTTTTCAGTGGTATTTTAAAATGTATTTTGGTAACTTGCACTTGTATGGAACAGTATATCTATATGTATATCTATATGTATATTATATGATTGTATTGTCCAGGACTACAGGTGGAAAGTGCCATGGTCCATCTTTTTAATGCCACTGCACAATGTCCTTAAATGAAACTTAAAGTCATTTCTTGGATGCTGCTCTGTTTCCGTCGTGTATAAACAAAAACACTGCTTTATATCGATGGGAAACTGACCTGGTCTTGGTTTCAGGTGTACATCAGTCAGATTCTGGTGGCGTCTGCTTTGGGGGCGGTTGTGGAGGCTGTGGGCAGTGTGCGGGTCATCCCCATGGTGGCCTCCGTCGGGTCCATACTTGGATTTTTCGCCGCCTGGTTCTTGGTGATCTATCCTTCTCCAAACAGCAGGTAGGACACGGTTTAACTTTCGAGGTCTCGCTGTTTCGGAGATTTGTTGTATCGCTGTCTTCCCGTATCCCTCGGTTCTGCCTCTGCCCCTCAGCGCGGTGTATGCACGGCTTTTGACAGCTGCAGCAGCGCTCAGACCCACAACAAGCATTTTTATATCTCTGCAACCGCACTTCAGCAGTTGTTGAGTTCAGGTGGCTAGAAAAAGTAATGAATTGTGTGGTGAGGGGTTTTAGAGCCTTAAAACATAGAGCTGCTACTTCGCAAATTTTGCTAATTGCGGATTATTCCACTTCCACATAAATAGTCAAATCCCATTTTTTATCATTATCAAAACCAAGACAAGTGGTTTACTACTACTACTACTACTACTACTACTATTACTACTACCTTAAGGCCAGTGGCGGCAGTGGCTCAGTTGGTAGAGCATTGGCCTTGGCCTTGGCATTGGTCATGGATTCGAGCCCTCTACAAGACCTTTTCTACCATCTCCCACCGATGTCTGCTGTCGTTGTGCCCTTGGGCAAGACACTTTACCCCCCAAGTACTTGTACGCTGCATGTCTCGATGTCCCTATGTGTGTATGTGTATTCCTCTAACTGAGATTGCCCCATTGTGGGACGAAAAAAAGATAATCTCTCTTAATGTAAGTGTGTATGTCCTTCTCTTTCAGTGACGCTGATTCAACCAAAGCCTCTGAGAAAAAAGCCTTGACAGCGCTGGAAAATCCCCCGGAAAAGTCTGTCCCCGACGTCGTCATCAAAGAGAAATCGAGTTTCTGGAAACTCAACCAAAACGGGAAAACCAGCACCACCACCTCCTCATGCCACACAGAGAACGAGTCCGCACTGTGAGGGCTTCAAAACATGGCCACGGACGTCTGGGAGCCTCCATCCACATCCAAACTCATAGAAAGGTCAATTAGTTCCTGGTTTTAGGAAAGACAACCTTCCTAAAACAGGACCAGTGTCACAGTCGACCAACATTTTACAGTTGAAACCATTCGCTGTCGGCCATCTTTGAAATACTTTCCACTTCTCCTTTCGATGGACTACGGACTGATTCAGCCAGAAGTCATTAATTTATTGGTGATGCTTCTATATAAGGAGTTTGTGTTCGTGTCTCTCAGGGGCCTCTAGGGGGTGCTACAGAGCCAGCGCCTGGAAAAAACAAGAAATCTTCAGGGGACTTGAAACACACAATCAAAACCAGTAACGGACACCGAATGAACGATTAAAAGCCGCAGATGCTGAAAACCCGTTCTTCCTCGCTGCGGGGTTGATTGAATGTCAGCGATTTTGGATGTGCGCTGACTTTGCTGCGAATAAATGACAACTGCTCGGTGGGACTCTGGCGGCGGCGCTCCACGGCAGTAGCTTTAAGACGTTCAGGAGTGGCATTTCGCAAAAGCCTGAATCACGGATCATCGCTGATGTTTTGATCCCAAGTGTTTGTTTGTTTTTTTCGCATGCCGCATTTCTGTGTCTTCATTCAGGGCAACACGGCTCTGCTCGAAAAGCCTACACACTCCTCAGGCATAACACATCGACTACGCCGTCCTCGAAAATTGTGCTTTTGAGGAGTTTTTCAGGATAAAGGCCGTATTGTGACGGCTCTTTCAGAAGTGATTCCAGTTTGCAGCGGTCAGTATCTAGCAAGAACGGTCCAAACAAGGAGGAGAAGTGATAAAAACCTGACCAATTTGCTTAACTCATTGACTGCCAGCCGTTTTTGAGAATTTCACTGACTTTCACGACCCACAGAATACGGAGTGCTTTGACTATGTGAAAAATGAAACCAGATTCTGAAAGATCGGACTGTCTACTTTCATCAGCAAAAATATGTTGGTTTCTTGCTAGTGTTGTTCTCCTGTAAATCCCCAGGCGAAAAAGTGGCAAGTTTTAGACAGAAATCACCAGTCTCAGACAAATACGTCAATGGCAGTCAATGAGTTCAGACGTTTGTACTGGTATGAATAAAAAACATGGACGTCTTTGTGTAGCGATCGTATAGCGTTATGCCTGATCCGTGTACTTTCATATTAAGATGTATATTGGGGTAATTTCCAGGACAAATGAGCATAGATGCAATATGTGCAGTATACAGTACAGGGCATTACAATCTTAAATATTTTTGACAGGATGTAGTCAGAGGTTACATTTTTGAGTACTTTTTTGACGACCTTAATGCTGCATGTCGTACCAAACAAGTGAGGAAAGAGTCGTTCCTCGTTCAGCTTTGACTAAACAGAAGATGCTGTTTGAGCCATGGCGTGTTTCAGAATAATGTAATGTTTTTTTTTTTTTTTTACGTGGCTTCCATCTTTGTTGTGCGTGGAGATGTAGCCCATAACGACAGGGTTGACGTTAAGCGTGAGTTGGTTCTACGGAGTTTTGGGCCAAATTTTAAATCAGGAAAGAAGACATTTTGTAGGGCTAGTGTGCGTGAGAGAAGACGGAATGGAGACGGCTCAATGAAGGCGTAAGGGTGTTGTTTTTTCTCAAGCTTGACAAGGCGGATTTGTGGAAGTTGGGATTCTTACATAGAGAAATACTCGCTTGGTATTTTGATATTTACGGAAGATTTTTTTGTAATGCTCGGGAAGAGGGTGGGCGGGGGGCTCCAATCTAAGGGATTTTGTTCAGTTCTCAAATTCATTGTGATTGCGTTTTTATGTTTTGACAAATCTGACCATTCGTTGCAATAACAGCCATCATAAAAGTAAGAAAACAAGAAAAAAGTGTATATAATAGTTATATGGGTTGACCAGGATGTGTCCTATTCCACTTGATCTAAGGCTGTGAGTTTGAGCACGTAGTAGCTAAAATGGCGCTTTTTACAGTGAATTTCTCAAGTTTTGATTCCTATTTTAAACCTTTAGGTACATTCAGTGGATTTTGATGCAGGTTACAGGACGATTTTTGGCTTTGAAAGGATTCAGAGTTGTACGTTTTTCAAAGGGTTAACAATCATCGGACGAGGACGAACCGTCGTATAATAAAAAATAAAAAAGATGGCGATTTTGGCTTTGCATGCGGCAACAGCAACATGCGTATGACACCAAAGTGCGTAGAAGAAATCCCGCCCGCTCCGGTCGCAGGGTGCTCTTCCAAAATGCATGGCTGGACGTTCATTTCTGTGTCTTTTGTTTGAGAAAAAAAAATGTTGGTGTCTTGACTTAACGTAGAATCAGCGCACTCTAAAAAACCGCATGTGACCGCTGATGTTTTTTGCACAGTTCACCTCACTCCCCCGTTGTCAAGGCAACGACAAACACGCCGCCATACTTGAAGTGTTTCTCGAGCTGTCGCGCCGATATACGCCACGTCCCAAGCCTTTTTTCTATGCGTTTAAAAATATAATAATGATTAAAAACGTCAAAATATATGTTGTGTTTAGACTGGGGAATGTCCTGACAGTGTTTGCCTCTCGCTCGGCATGCTGGGAAGTTGAGTTCTTGATTCCATCGAACGCATGAATGAATGTGATGTGATGGAAAAGCCGGGAGAGTTGCACCAAACTTGCACATGTATAAAAAATAATACACAAGCATTGTCTTGCAAAAAGGAAGAACTGTGGATATTTATTTTTTAAGCTTTCCTGTCTGTAATCAAAGTTTCAAAGTTTCCAAATGATTAATGAGGCCTAATCTCATTTGCTGTTACAGGGGTCTGTTACGTGTAAGGGGCGTTTAGAAATGTCATCTCAATCTTGTTTGTAAAACCGGTTTACTCTTTTTTTTTTTTTCTGGACAGCTGCAATACAGAAACATATTTTTATTCACACTCACAAATTTAAAGGTATATTGGAGGATTTTTCAAGATTTTAGCAAAAAAACGTCTCTACTTCCTGAACAAAACTTTCTGGTCTTATTTGACAAGCACGTATCACCAGAATGATTGACAATTGGGAGGACCAATCGTCTTGATGATCCACTCGGAAGTAGATAATCCTCCTATAAGTAACTACCTAAGCTAATGAGTTACTTACTTACACAAATTTGCGTTTTATTTTTTCAAAGGTTAGGTTACCACAACACGACTACAGTTTGCACTTTTCTCATTTCGACTCCAGGGCGTCCCGACAGGTGCTCCCATCTTGAAACTTTTGAATGTTCGGAGTTTTTCGTCTCCCACGGCGACGCAGGGGAGATGATGTAATGTTAAATAAATCAGTCAGGTTTTAGCTCGGCCTTTAGCGAGACGAGAACGTTGCCTATATTATTCTTGAAGAGAGGTGAAATCACAGAGATTACTTAAAGAATGGGAAAGTACGTACAGTATGCGCAGTGTACTGACAAATATATGCCTTGTTATTTTGGACAGAAGATGTAAATATACTTAACTCTTTTAGTTTCTTCTTTTTGCTGCTATAAAAAGATGATTATTTTTGTTAGTTTTGTTTTCTATATAAAGACTGTATATATATCTATGTATGTAAGTATGCTTGAGCCTTCATATGTAGGACTCTATGGATGAACACTGTATTAAACGCACCTTTAAAATCTGTTCAACAAAACCAACAAGACTTCTGTTTTTATCTACCCATTATTATTATTATTTTCAGTGTGGTTCTGGTTGTGTGTATTAGGTGGTTTTTTGGATTCAATCTTTGTGGATCATAACTGCAAATTTGAGTAACTAGACATAAGTATTGAAATCTGGTATAGATTCATTACATTTTATAATAATAATGGATTTTAGGACACTCAAAGACCTTTTACATGGCATTATTCATTCACTCCATACACAGAAGTGAGAATTTATTTTTATTTATTAATTTATTTGATAGGGACAAGTGCACACAACCATCATGTGAAATACTACATTTATATCCAAGACTAATTTGCAATGTCCGTCTCTACCACTATTTCTGCTGTAGCCAAATATGTCCTTGGGCAGAATGACAGAAGCGAGGCAACCGGTCTGTGCCGTCGGCCGCTCTGACCACCACCAACCATTCACACGCCAGACTCATTCTCGGCAAAGTGTGTGAAGTGTTCTGTCCACAACAACCATTCGGCACTTTTCAGGTGTCACAGTGGTGTTCCCAGAGGTCTCCCATCATAGTACTAACCAGGCCCTGTCCTGCTTAGCTTAAGGTCTGACAGAATCTGGCTTTCACATGCAGGGGGCACCACATATGTGTAGAATTTACAGTCTCTATACACATTTTTGTTTTATATGTCATTATTCATTCACTCCATACACGGTGGTGATACTGTAGCCACAGCTGCCCTGGGGCGAGGCTACCATGTGTCATTGGCCCCTGAATGCACAAACAATCACTCACGCCAGACTCATATTAGGCAATGTGGGTGAAGTGTCTTGCCTAAGGACACAAGACAAATGAAAGAAAAATAAGTAAGAAACCTAAAAGAACGTTTGAGTGAAGCCAGGTCTCTGTATAGAATGTGTCCTGGGTTGAGAGAGCAGTCAAACCATAAAAGCTGCGACACCTGGTTCCTGCTCTGAAACCTGGGTCTGGGTCTGTCTCTGGTTTCCACATGGTTCTGGTCTGTCTCGTCTTCAGATCAGCGTTTTCAGACAAAAGTCAAATGTCGCTGATTCTCACTTTCACGTCTGTTTTCTTACGTGTGAAATCAGCAGGTTTCTCAGCCGCTGTCCCATGATGCACTGGGGCCAAACCGCTGAGAAGAGGAACAACTCAGCGCAACCGTCTGGTGTTTTTGCACACTCAGATTTCCTCTCCCCTCTCTCCCCATTTCTCTCTCTCCCCCTCTATCTCCGCCTTTTCCTCTCTCTCTCCCTCTCTCTGTCTTTCCGTCTCTCCCCTCTCTTCCTCCCTCTCTCTCTCTGCCTCGCTCCTCCTCTTCCTCCCTCTCCCTCTCCTCCTCTCACAACAATCATTTGGCACTTTTCAGGTCTCCATCTTTCCCCCTCTCTCCCTCCCTCTCTGTCTTTCCCGTCTCTCCATCTTTCCCTCCCTCTCTCTCTCCTTTTCTCCCTCCCGCTCTCTCCATCTTTACCTCCCTCTCTCTTCCTCCTCTCCTGCCCTCCCTCTCTCTTTCTCTATCTCCTACTCTCCCCCCCTCTCTCTTTCTCTATCTCTCTCCTCCTCTCCCTCCCTCTCTCTCTCTCCCGTCTGCACACCCAGGCACAGACACCGGAGCCGCAACTTGAACCTGTGCCTCCACGTGACGTGTGTGGCAGCTGATGTGTCCCCTTCTCCCTCTCCCTCCCTCCCCTCTCCCTCCCTCCCCCCTCCCCCCCCTCCCTCTCTCTCTCCCTGGGATATGGGAGGGTGGGATGTGGGAGGGTGGTAGAGTGAGAGGTGTTGGGATGTTCTCTGGCCGACGTCAGGATAAAGTTACTGCTCTAGAACATGATGTGAAGTGGCCGCTGCTGACCCTCTCTCTCTGAAGGATTAATGTCCATTAAAAGTGTCATATCTCCGCTCTCTGTGGTCATGATGTAACAACGTTATGTCAGAAGAATAAAATAAAGATAATATTTTCTTTGTTGCATCGGAGGTTAAACGGTTTGTTTCAAGGCTTTTCATTTACAAATATAAAATTAGGAAGTGCAGACATACAGTAAGCTACTGTACTTCTTTTTGCTTCCATACTGTGATTTTTAAGTTAAATTATTTCTTTGGGGTCCTGGGTTCGATTCCAGCTCCAGGCCTTTCTATGTGAGATTTGCATGTTCTCCTGTGTGTCTGTGTAGGTTTTCTCCAGGTGCTGCAGTTTCCACTACCACTAAAAACATGTACTTTAGGGATGAATGTAATGGAGAATGGATTGTGACGTTAGAGACTTCTGTTTGAGATTTTTTTTATATTTTCTCAATCCCATCAACAGAAAGAGTTTAGATTCAGAAAGCTCTATACTTGTTTTTAAATTTGGTTTTCTCAGAACATTTTGGACTCTCCTGCGCTCAGTCCTATCACATTAACATTCAGGCAGGTGTGTCTAGGGGCATTATTACACACACACCGGATTTACACACCAGAACACGCTTTGACAAAGATTTTAATACGGTTTAACATATTTCTAGCTTGAATTCAGTCAAATAAAAACGTGTAAAAAAGCGTCTCCTTTCTTAAAATGTAAAATGTCGACCTAAAACAACTCAACAGTAACATGTGCATCAGCCGACCAATGTTAGACGTCGTTTGAAGAATTTATGAACGAAAACGCATTGTTAAAAAGCATATTACAACAAAACAAGGGCATTATGGTAAATATGAAGCAGTTAGAGATAAAAAAAAAATGCAGTAGAAAAAGATTATCATGTTATATTATCTGAAGTGCAAATGGTGTTTTTCAGTCTGTCCAGTTTGTGTTATAGGGACTTATGTATTGTGGCTTTTGATAGATATATGTGTGGTCTAATGCACTTTCTCTATAACACTGATTAAATACAGACAAATATAAAAACTAGTATGTGCAGTGAATTTAAATATACGTAATTATGCTTGTTTTAAAACGACTGTACACTATTCTACATTTGGAAACTCTTATATATGAAGTTTCCCAGAGTTTTAGTCGTAAACATAACACAAATCCTTCATTTCATTTTCACATTGGATATAAACATCCTCATTTCCAGTTTCTCCTCGGTCCATTCGATCTTATAAAGTCTTCAAAAATGTGTGGGTTCATTTATTCCACTTTCCATATAGCGATTTTTCCGTCCCGTCTGTCGGCTCCGCTCAGAACGTATCGGTCCTCGGCGGAGCACAGTCCGGTCACTTTGTCCGTGTGTCCGTGCAGCTCTTTCAACACCTGGTGGCGCTCTGCAGCTAGAATGTAGATCTTTCCTTTAGTCGTGCTGCGGCCGAGACCTCCGATCCAAACCTGAGAGAAGACCAGACGTTAACACACGGGTCAATAGAATAGAATAGAAATGAAATGAATCAAATACAGCAGCCATTGCCAAAGTCAGAAACATAAAAATCTTGCCAGGTCTGTGCGGCCCCCGGAAATAATAATCAAGAAGAGAACGTTAAAAATAGGCTCTTCTCGTTATTTGATTTGCCGTAAATAGCCTCTGCTACAAACGTGTAAAGGACGCACCCCATTTTGTAATACAGAAATGATTACAATTTGATGATTCAAGTCAAATAATGAACACAAAGAATTTTAATTTTACAAACAAAATATTATTAATTTGACATACAATAATTATGTAAAACTTTTTATTTTATTTTTATGACCTCTTGCGGCCCCCATGCAATACCCTCGCGGCCCCGGACCCCACTTTGGGAGACACTGGAATGTAGGAAGTGGTCATCAACAAACTTTTGCTCCGACTTCCTCTGGGTTCTCATGACTTATATTGAAAAGTAAACTCCTCCAGCTCACTATTTAAAACTAAATCTGGTTTAGCGCTCACGGAGATCCTGGAATGTTTATGTTGATATTGTCCTTGTAGAAACATTGACCAATCAGATGCCTTCATTAATGGGAGCCAACTACAGCTTGCCTTAGCAACGATGTTAGCAACCTGTAAGCTAACTCGAACAAGGAAAATGGCAAAGATTAAACTCAGCCAACAGAATTGCATTTCTAAAAAAACAAATACAGGTTCAAATATTCTGACTGAAACTTCCAAAACCACAAATTTAACTCATAAAACTAAAAATGAGAGATAGCATTTTTGTTTGCATAGCCCTTTAGTCAAGTCTGCGAATGCTACATGCCGAGTTTCCACAAACATTGCTCTAACTCTATATTTTTCTCTTTCTGTTATTGATTTCAGAAGTCTTCCATCTCTCTAAAGCACATGTGTCAAACTCAAGGCCCGCGGGCCAAATCCGGCCCGCGAATGAATTATCTATGGCCCCCGGGACATTGCCTGCCATTGAGGCAATGTATTGACCCCTTAAGCTCGCTAGCCCCCGCCGGCGGGAGCAAACGAGGAAGAAAATACATCTACTGGCAACAGCAGATGTATTTTGAACTTCATAAGCCACAAGCTATATATCATTTTAAAGCTTATTTTCTCAGCTATATTTATATGTAAGTGTAAACGATATCAGACTTTGCATTAAAAAGATATAACGCATAATATGGGCACAAAATAAATCAGTCTGTATTTGTTTTTTACCTTTCATCTTCTGCTGCTCCAACAAATTAGACTTTCCCCATCCTTGCTTAGTCTCTTTCTCTCCGTAACTGTTCATTGAACAAGAATATCCACTTGTATTTCCCAAAGTATAATCCATTCTGCAGATTTAATCCAAAAACGCCCAAAAAGAGGTCCAGACTGCTCTTTTACATTTCACCAAGTTTGAGCTTTTTTTTTTTTTACTATTTTCATGTTCTCAGATGTCTATTACATCTAATGTGTACAGTATGAGGATTGGCTTTAGAGCATATTTTATCGAGCCAACAGGTGTCACCGGCACTGCCTCTGGATGTTGAGAAACATTGAACCAGTCCGGCCCTCGGCGCGTAGCAAACTTTTTTTTTTGGCCCTCTGATGTATTTGACTTTGACATGCCTGTTCTAAAGTTTCAGGGATCCACATTTTGTCTACATCACATGAGGTTTCTGAGTAAACTCTGCCACTTACAGAGTTAGCATGTTTGCCAAGATAGCAACTGGAAAAATACTGCAGACTTTTTTGCAGACTAAGAAGCAACAAGTAACAAGCAGCACATACATATTATAATAAACTAAGGATAGAGACAACTTCTTATTTTTTTCCATACGCGTCTATATTCCGTCTTCATCATTATTGTGTATTTTCTATAAAACGTGTTTGTACCTGGTCTTTGACTTTGATGATGCAGAAGCAGCCGGCGCAGTCTGGAAGAAGAACTCTCTGCAGCGGTCGACTCGTGTCCTTCATGTGCCAAACCGAGATCTCCCCAGAATCGGCACAAATGCTCCACATCTCCTCAATCTGCAGCAGACACTCGTCCAGTTTAATCAGATTTACACAAAAAGGAGAAGAAAAAGTACGTAGAGGACCGATACAGGTCACACTAAGAGAGATATTGACTGTTCTTAAATAGAGAACCATGTAAAAGTAACTAGAGTTGTTTTAGCTCATCTACACTAATATCCACACTAATATCATGAACTTCTACACCAATCTCTGCCTGTGTCTGCCTTGGTTTCCTCCAGGTGCTCCGGTTTCCCCACCACTAAAATCACGCACTTTAAACTCCTGTGAAAGCCCCACAACCCCCTTCAGCACCCGGCGTCTGGGACCAGGACTCGTCTGAAAAAGACATCCTGGAATCATATAGTGGGACTTTCCTGGTTTAAAAAGGTAAATTGAAATGTCATAAATACTAATAATAATAATATTGTTTTCAAATTATCAACAATGCTTTTACACTCCTTCCTAATTAGTCTTGAGAAACTTCCAAAAACAGAGTGTAATGCTCCACTTCTACCACTGGATGGGGGTGTTTCACTCGATGAGTCTATTCTTCATCATACAGTTGATTCATATATATTTTAGTGGCTAAACTGAGGCTAAAATGACAACCGTAATTTCCGGACTATGAGCCGCTGCTTTTTTCTACTTCTTTGATCCCTGCGGCTTATATAGAGATCAGGCTAATATGTGTTTTTCTATACATAGTTCCCACATGACGTCACTACATACGGGGATTTGCCGACCCGGCGACATTTGAGTTGCCATTCTGTGGGCAAAACAATAGAAAAAGAAGCTGAAACGCGTTAATGTCGTGATAAAGTTGAAAATGGTCATCTCCTGCTGGGTCAATGGATGTTCTAATCGTGCCGGAGGTTCCGTTAAACTTGGATTTTACAGTATACCCATCATTAGACTTCATGAATGTGAGAAGACTAAGCTTTTGTCAGAACAACGACGGAGGTTATGGCTTGCGAAGATAAACAGGCAAGAAACTCCCTCAAAACACGCAAGAATATGCTCGGAGCACTTTGTGTCAGGTGCGTATCGTATCTTATAATGTGTTGACAGACGTAATTTACTCAGTACTAACTTGTGTATGCTGATAGCTGGTAACTTGAGAGTTTCATTATTTAGCGTTAGATTACTTTATTATGAGGAGGATCGGTGTCGCGTCCGAGGCTCTCGAGGGCAACGTAAATGTATTAAATAGATAATAATAGTTCTATGGTGGGCTAAAACAATGTTCACAAACAGCATTGCTTCTGTAAAAAGATCTGTGTCATAAAATAAACTGCTCTTTACGCCTGGAAAAATCAGTTGCCCACCATTCACCAAAACATACGGTCAAAAACGCGGAAATAAACAATAACAGCAATCCAGAGTGTCCGTGTGGCATTAGCATTAATTAAATTAATTGTTAATATAATTAAAATAATTAAATGGAGCTCCAACTGGTATTAAATCTAAAGTTTTTGAGAAATGTTTGCATTGCTTGTTAATTTTTGCTGCATAATTTGATCAAATATGTAAAACATGTCCGTAGCACGTTAAACTGTGGTGCCATTGTATTAATATACAATTATTTGCTCAAAAGTTGCCCTTTTTTTCCAATTTGCGTTTGAATATCTACATTTATTCTCATTCTTCTGTTTAATGGAATGCACAAACACAGCAGCGTGCCATCAAAGATGGCGTCTCCGAGGAGGTCATGTGACATTCATTGGTCTGTGGGAACTATGTATTGGGATAGAGTTGTCTGAGCAGAGTTTTTTTGAACTTATTACTCTGACTCCATCAAGTTTAAGTAGCTTCAGGACACTTGTTTATTGTCAAAATAGATGAAGGTGAATGAGTACAGGCATGGAAGCTAACGGTTAAGCTGCGATCAGTTTTCAGTTTTAACATAAAAACCTGCAGCTTATATTCAGGTGCGGCCTATATGTGATCAAAATTGACTTTGTTTTCAAATGTGTGTGGTGCGGCTTGTATACAGGTGCGCCTTATAGTCCAGAAAGTACGGTAAAACGATGCATCAAAAGTGTTATTTAATGAAACGGGCCAAAACCGAGCAAAAGAGCACCTCGGGTAAGAGCAGGAATGAGCTGAACGTGGTCACAGTGCCTTTCTGCTGTTCGGGTAAATGCAGTCGGTGTTTTACGTTTCCACTTCTCCAGACTTCCATCACGCTATCCCTGGAGCCTGAGACACAAAGTACTCAAGTTTACGTCGTGTTATTGTTAAAAGGCCGTAAAAAGGTTTTGGGACTTACAGCACCAGAGAGTCCCGTTGTAGCTGCTCACAGACTGAAGACGGTCACAACTCAGACGAAAGTGCTTTTTGGCCTTGGGAGGTAGAATAGAACAATGAAAGTGAGGATAAAATTAAAATATAGACAAAATAATGACAACCGGGATTAATTTCGGGAGTATTTTAAGACCATCATTTCAATATCATTTCAATACAAGGCTCCGTCCGACTGGAACAAACTCCCCACATCCACACGATCCATTATGTCTTTTGGTTTTTTTAAAGGAGCTATACCCGTTTCTGCAATGTTTGAATGTTTAGCACCGCCCCCCAACTCGCTCACAGGCTTCTCATTTCCCCTGTGCTCTCATCCCACGGAGCCACCTAGTTTTATTTGCGATCTGATACGTATGTTAACATTAGCATCAGCACAACTTGTAAACTGTACAACAATCACTGATTAAATGGCACTAAAGCAATGCACTGCTAACACAATATATAAGTAAAAGAATACCATTAGTTTCGCGTCCGAATGTATTAATTTAAACATTAGTGTTAGAGAGTACTATCTCAGGACTAAAGGACTGTATAGGTGTAGGTCTGATATCCACTCTGGAGTGTCGGTCAGGACACAGGAGACAGGATGCGGATGTCACTTTAGCTGTCTTTAATGAAGCTCAATCAGCAGCATAGGAACCATACGTAGTGTATGTGATCGTGTGGTCTATAAAGAAATAAACAGAAGTTTGAGTAAATGCACTGAGCTAATGCACAAATAATAGTCTGAGCTAATCTATGAATTGCTTATAACAGGGAAATGGTGAATAATACAGTGTATTCGTGCCATAAGGGCTTACTGAGCTGAAAACCATATAATATATATAATGGAAGCACGTGGCGCAACACGTCTCTGTAAAAAATATTAGCACACGAGCTAACTGTCTTATTAGGTACAAAACTCGAACTGTAATAAACATACTAACACAATATACATCTAAACATTCCTAACATAATGGCAGAATGGCTCATGTAGTGTCCACGCCACTCTAATTAGCATGAACTTACTTTTTGTCAATAACGCACAACTCGGAGCTGCCGATAGATGCTGCACGCCAGAGCCTCGTGCTTAAAGAGCGACTAAACACCAAATAAACTTTTTTTAACTCATAAACTGCATAAATATGTTTATTGTAGTGCTGTCTACATATCCTGGTCATTTTTTTGACATTTTAGTTCAAATTAGATAAAGTATCACTTTTGAGCCAAAAAACGCTGTGTGGCGCCCTCTCAACCTTTTTGGTGGTACTACATTTGAATTTGGTCCTGGCCTCTCCATTGACTCTGAAGTTCTCTATGACATCAGTTGTTTTGTGTGACGTCAGTCTGTCAGAGCCAGTGATATAAACCCATTCAACTCTCACACACGCCCCAGCTGCAGTTTGGAGTATTCTGGCGCCATCTAGTGGATTAAAATTAAATTACATGAGTCATTCTGAGATTATTGAGTGTGATTAGGTTCAGGTGTGTAGCTTTACAATTATCTTAGTGTGTAAACAAGGGTGGAATGAGACTTTCTGGTCTGTAAACTATTGCTTTAAGCAGCAATGACAACTGTCTGTTATTTTTTTGTGACAAGTGAGCTGTCAATCACAGCCCAGACCACGCCCACCTCTAAGCCCCCCTTCTTGTCCCTTGGTCCTCCAGGCAACGCCCTTTTTAGAGAAAAATTTCAAATCTTCATGTGGGCGGAGTCAGGCAGGGCACAGGTGTTTAGTCGCTCTTTAACTAAAGAAACAAATACGGCGTGCTCTAACTACAGAGGGTGCGCTTACATTATAATGCCAATAGTGGGCGCTATACCCTAACTTAACATTCTCTTAACAGTCTTTCTAACAATTAGAATATATTAGAATATTTAATTATAATGTATTATACAGCCTCTCACAGCAGCAGTAGAACACTCCATTGACTTGAATGCAATTCTTCCGATCATTTTTTCTTGATAACAGAACTCTCAAATCAATAATGACCGCAGCCCCAATGCAATCTCTGTTTGTAATTCAGGTGTGTAAAATACTGCCATTACTTTGCAAGTACAACAAGCTATCAGCGCCTGACGCTAGCTACATTGTGCAGTTTCTCTGCACACTTGTCTGTGTAGAGAAGCTAGCGGAGCTCAATAAAAAACTAGCTAGCTAGCTTAGCTGTTACCTGCCTAGCACGTCCCGGTGAAACCTTTGGGAGCTAACTATTTTATTTGCAGTCATTAAATACATTTCGAATTATAAGGGCTGTCTAATATTTGGTCAAATATATATATATATATATATATATATATTTAATTTTAGAATTATATTTGAATTTTGAACACGAAGCCCTAGTTTTTAGCAGCGCTGTAGAGACTAGAGGACGCAGGCTGTTCGCTGCTCGTTCTGTGAGTGGAGGAGAACGTCCCGCTCAGACTCTACTCAGCACTTTTCACTGCTTGTAATTCATACACAGCTGAATCAATGACCTCAAGTTTTCAATTAAATTATGTATTATGATACAACTTGTATGTAGTAAAAAGCATTTTATGAACTACTTAGAAAAGAAATCGGGTATAGCTTCTTTAAGTAAGAATTATTTAGGTTCCTTAAAACTCCTTATGTCCTTATGTCACTTATGTTCGGTATTCTGTATGTGTCATTGTCGTTCATAGTTTTACTTTGTCTCTCTCCAAATATAACATTTTAGCAGAGGTGAGGAGTGGGGTGCGAATGAGCATATGTTTATTGTTATTGTCATCATTATTATTATTATTATAATTATTATTTTTATTATTATTATGTTTTTTTTTTTTTTTTTGGTGTGCGTTTCAGTAATTATCTTTTCTTATTCTTAATGCTTGTAAATTATTTTTTATTTATGTACGTGTGTACAGTATGTTACATCTTTGTGTTTAGGACCCCCTCGAAAATGAGAGGATTCATCTCAAGGGCCTTTCCTCAATAAACTTAAAACGTAATCGACATTCAAACAAAAATCATGATTCTACAAGACTTGACGGAGGTAGAAAACAGAGGGAGCCGACAACAGGTCTCAACAGAAAATCTCGTGAAAGTTTAAATGTTGTGAACAAATCAAACAGAACGTACGTCTTATTGTGACACATGTTTTCTAAAAGTTCTGAGAGTTACTTTTTTCACTTGTTTGAAAAAGCTGCTCTAAAAGATGTGACAGAGACCAAAACATAACATCATGTGAAAACTTTGTGAGATCAATAAAGTTAATCTTATCTCATTTTATCAACAAGTGTTTTGAAAGTTTTGTAACCACAACAAAACTGAAATATTTTTTAGTGAAAAACACCTGTATGTGTTAATGGATTGTTTTGGCAATTATTTCTGTATATTTCTCACTAGATTTTTACAAGACAAATATTTTTTCTTATAAATTGACCTCAACCTCCGAGTAAAGACATTTCTACATCTGTTGCTTATTAATTGTGTGATTCCGTTGACGATCAGGGGATTAAAAGGGTAAGAATCCATTTCTGACCAGTCTTTTCTACATACTTGTAGTGTTGCTATGTCCCACACCATCACCGTTCCCTCTGCGCTGCAGGAGTACGCCACCTTCTGGCTGAAAAACAGAGTGCACAAGTCAAATGCTGTGTCTTTTTTATTCCAAGCAGGAGTAGAGCTGATGGTGGAAGAATACTGTGGAACTTAAAGGTACAGTCGGTTCAGGATTTGTCATGTCAAAATAAATAACCTCCTTCTGTGTTCCCAGACACATGTATCACATGTGGAGAGTGATGAGGGTCACATTGTGTTAATATTTCTCAAGCAGATTATTCCCCCAAAAGCAGAGGGAGTTTCTCATTTGCGTTGCCAGTTTCTTTGGTGAAATCCAGCTGTTTTGGTCTCTAGCTGACCCTCAAACCACCGCAGCTCTGTGTGTGCTCCGTACTCAGGGAAAGCAGTTTAAACTACGTACTGTTTCTTTAAATACGCACAAACTGTACTTAAAGGAGTTGAATGTTGAAAAAGAGCAAAAGAAAAATCTCACTTTGTAAATGATCTGTCAAAGTGCTGCATACTATAATCTTAATTGTGGATATAATCTGTCAAAAAAAGGGTAAGCAGATCACAAAGTATTTAAATAGTTTGTTTCCTCATCGCTGATTCTGGAAAAAGCCAAGTCTATGGATTGTCTGGGAACATGTGTTGTCATTCTAGTGCTACATTTGTGGGACTTAAAACCAAATGGCTCAAATTAACCTTTGAACAACCACACGGGAAAGCTGTTGTTTTTATATATGTACTATTATCCTACACAGTAACATGTGTACTATTATCCTACACAGTAACACGTGTACTATAGAGTCCTACACAGTAACACGTGTACTATAGACTCCTACACAGTAACATGTGTACTATTATCCTACACAGTAACACGTGTACTATAGAGTCCTACACAGTAACACGTGTACTATAGAGTCCTACACAGTAATACATGTACTATTATCCTACACAGTAACACGTGTACTATTATCCTACACAGTAACACGTGTACTATAGAGTCCTACACAGTAACATATGTACTACAGTCCTACACAGTAACATATGTACTATAGAGTACTACACAGTAACATGTGTACTATAGAGTCCTACACAGTAACATATGTACTACAGTCCTACACAGTAACATATGTACTACAGTCCTACACAGTAACATATGTACTATAGAGTCCTACACAGTAACATAAGTACTATAGAGTACTACACAGTAACATGTGTACTATAGAGTCCTACACAGTAACATAAGTACTATAGAGTACTACACAGTAACATAAGTACTATAGAGTACTACACAGTAACATGTGTACTATAGAGTCCTACACAGTAACATAAGTACTATAGAGTACTACACAGTAACATGTGTACTATAGAGTCCTACACAGTAACATATGTACTACAGTCCTACACAGTAACATATGTACTACAGTCCTACACAGTAACATATGTACTACAGTCCTACACAGTAACATATGTACTATAGAGTCCTACACAGTAACATGTGTACTATAGAGTCCTACACAGTAACATGTGTACTATAGAGTCCTACACAGTAACATATGTACTACAGTCCTACACAGTAACATAAGTACATGTCTTGTGTATTGTGAGCTGTTGACCTGTACTTGTCGGTGTCCAGGGCGAGGCCGGTGACCTCGGCGCGGTGCTCGGTCAGTTGGCGGTTACAGACCATGGAGACCAGACTGATGATGTAGATCACAGAGTCCTCAGAGCCCATCCACACCTGGTCCTGGTCCACTCCCAGCATGCAGTTCTGCAAAACACACGGCACTTAGGACTGACTTATGATTTATCTACAAACAATAGTCACAGTTATTATCTTATATTTGATCTATTTATAGGTTTTATATCAGTGACAATGACCAATGTTTATTTTCTTATCAAATGGCTTCTCAAAATGAGCCAAAGATATTATACGTAAAATTCCCAGACTGACTAAATGTTGTTTTCTGACTAGAGCTGCGAGTCTACAACTGTAATTGAAATATTTTACCTGCGTAAAATGTAATATGATTATTTATTTATCATCACATATTATAAAACCAATGGTCCATGTTGCGTAGAATACTGAGTACATGACCTAAAATGTATTTTGTAAAGTATTCCACTGTATTCTGAATACTTAGAAAACGTATTTTTACTATATTAATTTTTTATGTAATATTATTTGTTTATTTACAAAACGTATAAAAAGGTACATTTCAAAATATTTTAAACCACAACCCCAATAAATGTTTAAATAAATAAAACTTGTTCTGTAATTATTCAATAATTCACACAGTGCTACAACAGCTGCATTTAACAACCAGAATAAATAGAATCTTCACTTTAAGAATACAAACATTTGCTTTTTTTTTCACCTTAAAAACGTAATGTCAGAAGGAATGTATTTACCCGGGATTTTTAGAAAGTAACTGTTTTCTAATCACTAGACTTAAAAGTAGTAACTGTAATGGAATACAGTTACTTAGAAAGAATAACTTCCCAACACTAATGTTTCCTCCTGGTTTAGCGCCATGTTTAGTGTAATACCTGTATCCGTCACTAGGGGGCAGCGTTGCTCAACATAAGAAGCCACACAGACGCAGTGAATTCATGCCTTATAAATATGATTTTACTTTTGAAAACTCTCTCTCCACTGTTCCCATCGGGCACCACGCTTCAGCCAGTGTAAAATCGGAATATTTCTTGACCCAGTGATAAACTCTGGACAAGTTCACACATGATTGTATTATTATGTTTCCTAATCGTACTTCAGAACACGTTAACGGACTTCATGTGACTTTGCGCTTGTGGTCCATTTGCACAGTGGCTCCAAATACCTCCAACATTTTACAGCAGACTTCAACATCAGCTCAGGGTTAGGTTTCCTCTCACAATATTTTATTTTGAATGTTTTTTTTTGCAGATGTGTTTAATCAAGAGGGAATGAAAGCGATTTTGAAATGTTCCCTCCAAAAACATGTGGTTGCTAGCTCTGACACATCACATCCAAATACACAGAAAGTGAAAATGTGAGAATATTCCTATCTGTATCTGATGCAGGAGGAATGCGAGTTATGACGAGAAGATACAAGTTTTACAAATCAGTTTGAGTGTGAACTTACTGGAGTCTAGGACTGGGGTCCTTTTGCAAAGGCAAAAGGAAAATGGTTTATTCTTATGGTTATTTATTGTGTCAGTATGTATGGTACTACCCCATGGTTTACATGGTACTACCCCTGGTTTGCATAGCCCTGTCTGTAGATGCTTTACCAGTCTGGCGGTCCCGACTTGGCAGGTGTGAGTGAGGGACCATGTGGAGGCGTCAAAAACCATCACCTTCCCTCCGCTCACCGACACCCACAGCTGCCCTGGAAACACAAACACACAACATTTAATGCACTATAGAAACAAACAGGACAAGTTTCAGCTCATAATGTTATTCTTCCATTGAAAAATACTTAACACAATGGCTGCAGCAAAACAATTCATTTATTTGAGGATTTCAGAAGGATAGAAAATGACCAGCCTTAAAAAAAAAAGTAAGAAAACCTTTGGAATGAAAACAAAATTACATAAATCGGATTTACTACCGACAGAAAAATAATCACTTAATGTTTCGTTATATAATTAACTTAATACATTTTCCCATGAAAGACGCTGTGTTACAAAGTTATGGTCATGAGAGATATCTAACCTTGAAAACTCCACCCAGCTCAATTCAAAACAGCTTTCCACAAGAACTCTCTCAAGACTATTTTAAAACCACCTCGAGTATAAAATAAAGCAACATCCTGTGATTCATTCAGGGCCACAGAGCGACGTGGACGGGCAGAAGAGAGCGAAGAAGGAGGGAGGGCAGGAGGGCACTGGCTGCTGTCCAGAAACTCAATTCACTGACCTATATTCAGAGCAGAGGAAGGGAGGCGGTGAATGTGAGGGCTGTCCGTGCACCGACAGCTAGAGGCGACCTTTCGCTCTTTCGCTGAGTGTGGTGGAGAGTTGGGCGTGTTGGAAAAGAGTAACTGTACCCAGATGTAAACTAAAGAATGTTTAGAGAGGTCTTCCTTCGTTTTTCATGAAATTACACTGGACTGAAAACAAACCAATCTGTTTGTTTTGTCAATTTCTCTAGTCAGACAAGATTTATTTTGCCATTTTCAGTAAAACCACATGGGAAAAACTGTGCAAGACTAGCCCTGTGTGCACCAGACAGTACACACCAGAGCTCTTTACAACTGCATGCCTTGAATTAGACCACGCCATCTTGGATTTGAATATAAATCTAGCAGACAGTGATTTTCCACTTTGATGGCAGCATCAGGACCAAAAGTGGCCAAAATGATGTGCGCTGACATGCTTGCAATACCATCCCGGGCCGATGGGGGTGGACCCGGAATAAGAATTAGCCAATGCTAACATATAGCATCTTCTTACCTCTCGAGAACGTCTTTACAGGATGATCCAAAAGTGGCTCTTGGCCCAAAGCTCCGTTCCACATGTGTGTCAATGCTGAGGAAATGAATGGAGCTGCGCCGGCTGACGCATGCGCAGTTTTTTCACAATTTCCTTGTGGGCGGGACCACTCGCGGCCATTTTGGATTGCTCCAGTAGAGCACTATTTTTGGCCCATTAGTTAGAACGGCAGAGATAGGCGTGACTATGTCCGTGAATTTTTACAGTCTATGATCAGGACATACTAATCATATCTCGCTTGGTCATGGTTATCAAAGTTTTTGTACTTTTAAGAAACGATTTCATCTTTTTTTTATATACAACTTTTAAAAGCAGATCTAGGGCTGTGAGAGAGGACAACATATTCAAAAAAACTCATGCTTGTATTGTAAAGTATATGAGTGCTAGCCACCAACCCAGCGCTGTGCATTTATTACTGAGGTCGCCATTTCTCTAATTCTTTAGAATAATCTCACGTTGAATAAATCTGAGAACAGATACATTGTGCATTTTACAACTCAGTAAGAAAGTCCAGAAACATAATGTCCTTTGAAAGTGACTTTGTGTGTGTGTGTGTGTGTGTGTGTGTGTGTGTGCGTGGTTTGGACATTATTACTTAATTATGACTTCTGACGTAAATTTGAACAAAATAAATATTGTACAGTTGAGTATAATTCAATCTTCATGATGCGTGTTTCTATACTACACATAGGACTAACAATATTACAGACATGTGTTCAAAGTCTGTATCTCTGTGTTTACTGCACTACTGAAGGAGAATGCATTTGGGAGCAGGTTTAGAGAGGACTATTCTACACGGTTAATGGATGTTTTGTGAAGAAAAACAGGTTATTATGTAAAAATAAACTGTTGCCTATTAAATTGTGATTTTGACTTGCAGCCATTTTTAAACTTTTAGGTCCCAGCAGGAGCCTGTTTACCTATTGTGTACATTAGGACATATACAGTAGGGTCTGAGTACCTGGTGTGTACATTAGGACGTATACAGTAGAGTCTGAGTACCTGGTGTGTACATTAGGACATATACAGTAGGGTCTGAGTACCTGGTGTGTACATTAGGACGTATACAGTAGGGTCTGAGTACCTGGTGTATACATTAGGACATATACAGTAGGGTCTGAGTACCTGGTGTATACATTAGGACGTATACAGTAGGGTCTGAGTACCTGGTGTATACATTAGGACATATACAGTAGGGTCTGAGTACCTGGTGTGTACATTAGGACGTATACAGTAGGGTCTGAGTACCTGGTGTATACATTAGGACGTATACAGTAGGGTCTGAGTACCTGGTGTGTACATTAGGACATATACAGTAGGGTCTGAGTACCTGGTGTGTACATTAGGACGTATACAGTAGGGTCTGAGTACCTGGTGTGTACATTAGGACATATACAGTAGGGTCTGAGTACCTGGTGTGTACATTAGGATGTATACAGTAGAGTCTGAGTACCTGGTGTATACATTAGGACATATATAGTAGGGTCTGAGTACCTGGTGTGTACATTAGGACATATATAGTAGGGTCTGAGTACCTGGTGTGTACATTAGGACATATACAGTAGGGTCTGAGTACCTGGTGTGTACATTAGGACGTATACAGTAGGGTCTGAGTACCTGGTGTGTACATTAGGACATATACAGTAGGGTCTGAGTACCTGGTGTGTACATTAGACATATACAGTAGGGTCTGAGTACCTGGTGTGTACATTAGGACATATACAGTAGGGTCTGAGTACCTGGTGTGTACATTAGGACGTATACAGTAGGGTCTGAGTACCTGGTGTGTACATTAGGACATATACAGTAGGGTCTGAGTACCTGGTGTGTACATTAGGACATATACAGTAGGGTCTGAGTACCTGGTGTGTACATTAGGACGTATACAGTAGAGTCTGAGTACCTGGTGTGTACATTAGGACATATATAGTAGGGTCTGAGTACCTGGTGTGTACATTAGGACATATACAGTAGGGTCTGAGTACCTGGTGTGTACATTAGGACATATACAGTAGGGTCTGAGTACCTGGTGTGTACATTAGGACATATACAGTAGGGTCTGAGTACCTGGTGTGTACCATTAGGACGTATACAGTAGGGTCTGAGTACCTGGTGTGTACATTAGGACATATACAGTAGGGTCTGAGTACCTGGTGTGTACATTAGGACGTATACAGTAGGGTCTGAGTACCTGGTGTGTACATTAGGACGTATACAGTAGGGTCTGAGTACCTGGTGTGTACATTAGGACGTATACAGTAGGGTCTGAGTACCTGGTGTGTACATTAGGACATATACAGTAGGGTCTGAGTACCTGGTGTGTACATTAGGACATATACAGTAGGGTCTGAGTACCTGGTGTGTACATTAGGACATATACAGTAGGGTCTGAGTACCTGGTGTGTACATTAGGACATATACAGTAGGGTCTGAGTACCTGGTGTGTACATTAGGACGTATACAGTAGGGTCTGAGTACCTGGTGTGTACATTAGGACATATACAGTAGGGTCTGAGTACCTGGTGTGTACATTAGGACATATACAGTAGGGTCTGAGTACCTGGTGTGTACATTAGGACGTCCACAGCGTGAGGCGCCGCGAGCTCCAGTGAAGGGTTGATCTTGTGTTTCAGCGTCTCTGCCGTCGTGGTGGGGACCATCATGGGCACTGGGACACAGAGCACACTTCAGTTAGCCTCACCAACTAGCTAACTGACCAACCAGATCCTCCTCTACTCTCAGACACATGTGAAAGAAGAAATATTGTTGAATCGTGTGGGTCTGGATCGAGACATGCTCATCATATACAGTATAAACAGTAAAATGACTGTTTTGTGATTGGACATAATCCACAGTGTAAACAGTGATTATTAGCTGTTATCAGTTGTTTAGCTTTGACAAAACTGTAGAACAAACACAATGCATTATTTTTACGGAATAAATGTAAACAAATCAGACCTATTGTACATGTTTTTAGTGGTAGGGGAAATCGGAGTATCTGGAGGAAACCTAAGCAGACACAGGGAGAACATGCAAACTCCACTCAGAAACTCCACTCTGTTCTGACCGCAACCCAGGACCTTCTTGCTGAGAAGCGACAGCCACTGTGTCGCCTAGTCCTAGTAGATTGAGGACTAAAAATAGTCCCAAAATGAACCTAAACTTCCCTGTAACTGGACGTTACTGGCCTTTATGAACCCTATGAAGGTATAAACTGGAGGTACTAGTTTGCACACTGGCTTTATCATACAAGTGTTAGATAAATGAGGTTATTATAATACATTTTGGAATCGTTGTACCTTCCATTCTGATGCGATCGAAATGAGCCAGTTTGGAGGCAGCGAAGATTGCTTTACTGTTCTGCAGACTGCCCACCACAGCGTCCATCAGCAGAGCATTGGTCAGAGCCTGCTGCATGTACTGAGGGTCCTGGGAGAGAAAACAGAAGGAAGACCTTTTATATTGTGATGCACAGTAGATTTCAACCAAAATCATGTAAAGTCCAAGCAAAGAGTGTGAGTGCAGAGCGAGTTATTTGATATTCCTTCTCTTCACAAAGGGCTCTCTGTCTGATTCATGCTGAAGGTTTGCAGGAAAAGCAGCAACTCCCACAAGGTCCCACAGCTAATGAGCCGTGTTCAAGGGGACATGACGGGCAAAATGGACACAGCTTTTGACCATGTTATAGATGCATCCTCTGTTATTTGCACGTTTAAGTCTTTCTATTGTCAACAAAAACACAGCAAACACAAGATTTCATAAATAAAAATGGTCAATTTTCAAACCTGCACTACTATTGCCACTCTTTCTTTAATTGCCACTTTTTATTGTACATAATATAACCTGAACAGACTATATGTTTTGTCTTTAACCTGTTGCACACTTATTTTGTCTTTTGAACAATCTGAGTGATTTAATCTGTGCCAAATGTGACGTGTACATTTCTCCTGTGTGAGAACAACAAAGTCTATTCTATCTTATCTTACAGACAAAAAGTGTGAGGCGTAATGATGTAGAAATTTCAAATAAATGTCTGAACATAAAACACATACACACAAAGGCTACACATTTGCACCAAGTGATGTAGTAGTTTTATTAAACATACTATGTATTATAATGTGTGATAAATATTTTAAATAATCATCCAGGCTGTTCTAAAGCTAAACCTCTGATAGATTATTTTGAAACTAGTTCTTATGTTTGCTTCTGAACGACAGGACAGCTTCTTAGGTCATAAGGACTATCCCTGGGTTTAAACCTCTGGATGCACTGAGGAAGCTTTACACAGAGCAGTGTTGAGATAAAAAAAAAAAAATCACGCAATTTGTGTCATGATCCTCCTGTGTTTTCCCCTTCCCCTTGTGTTTGTGTGTGTGTGTGTCAATCAATCTGGGAGCAGCCTTCACCACCTGCAATCCAACCACAATAAAGCTATCCATATTTAAACCCGGCTCTTCCACCACTCTCTGCCAGGTCTTTTCTCTTTGCTAACTTTTGTAACTTTTCTTGTGGCTCTTGTTTGTGGTTTACCAAGTCTTGCTATTTCGCTATTTTCTGAGTTTCCTGTTTTTTTACCTGTTCCAATGCTTTCTGGATTTTTTCACTACCTGTATGTACCTCTGGACCCAGCCCTGTTACTTACCTGCACCGATACCTACCAGCACCCAGCCTCTGCACCCCTGGACCCCTCTGCCCGATACCTACGGACCTACGGACCTACCTTGAGTTGCCTTGTATATGAATTGTGCTATAAAAATAAATTGCCTTGCCTTGCCTTGACTTACCTGCACCTCTGGACCCAGCCTCTACGCCCCTGGACCCCCCGCCAAACCCTCACTTGTATTGAATTGTTTCATCTTCTTCCCGTAACAATTTGACCTTTTTAATTCAACAAATGCAGCACTAGCATGAAAACATATTTGTCATTGCTCTCCCCTGACTCCTCTGACCACCACTATGATTCTTAGCTCATCATTCCCTGTATAAAACTTGGTCAAATGTAAATATGTCTGATGTGAAATGAATGCCACCTTATGCTGGTCGGCCATGATGCGTCCCGCCCACATTTCTTTCACCATCAGGTTCCACAGCTCTGTTTCAGTTTTTAGATTGGCCTCAAAAGCGTCCTTCCTCCCTCGGACTCGGAGCTTCAAGCTGGGGATTCTCAGCAGCAGGATGGGGGCAGAGGACACCTTCACCTCCTACAGAGAAATGTCAATAAATACACTTGAAACTTAAAACACTGTCAAAATAGCATCACTTTGAAGATAAATATTGCCTCACCTCGATGTCTCTGTACTGGGCCACCTCCACGTAACCAGGACGTCCGTCTGTCAGCAGGAACAGGCGCCTCTGGGTCATGGCAATTTTTCCCACGCCGCGGCTCGTCTTTACCGAAGAGGAAAGCTTAAATACGCACTCGGACGGCTCCATGTGCTCCAGCACTGAGGCAGGAAGGCAAACCTGGAGAAAGGAGATGTCAGTGAGTTAAGCAGAGCAGTGCAATGTGATAATATCAAAAGTATGTTGGATTTAGCGACGGTAGTTTGTTTATTTCTTGTGAGTTTCTTTAGGTGAACATCAGTGCCCAGTCATTAAAGGGAAACAAAGCCTTTTAAAAAGGTACTGTTTATATCCGGGTGGATCATCAAGACTATTGGTCCTCTCTGTCTATCATTCTGGTGATCTGTGCTCATCAAAGGAGAGTTTTTTTCAAAATGGTTGGGAAAATCCTCCTATATACCTTTAAAATATAGACAGTCATAAGTTTACATACACCTTAGCAAAAATAGTTTTCAGCCACATTTTTCACAATTCCTGATCTTTTATTGAAAATGTAGATGTAAATTTACAATTTATTTCGCCCCGTAGGGAACTTCATTTGTCATTCGACCCATCCTGATCCCACTTGGGCGTCTATCAGGAGCAGTGGTCGCCGTAGTTCAGCGCTCAGGAACCCATCTCCAGATAATAATGCTTGGCTCCTACCAAAGCTGAAGGATTTACTTATTGTGCATGTTTTTAGTGGTAAGGGAAACCGAAGCGCCTGGAGGAAACCTACGTAGACACGGGGAGAACATGCAAACTCCACTCAGAAAGGCCCTGTCCTGACTGGGATTTGAACCCTGGACCTTCTTCAGACCAGACTTTATTACATCTGGTCCCTCAGGAGGAGTGGGCCAAACTTCCACCACTTCCCTATCAGAAAATGTATTTGATTATGTGATGGATAAAGCTCAGAGAGAAAGTATTTGGTATTATTTTTGAAGTAAAACATATATATTAAAAATGAAAATTAGTTGTGGCCATTTGTAAATGTAAAACCTCGACGACCGGAAGGTTGAAGTCACATGGGTTTACTTTAAACATGGTAAAGTGTCTTATCCAAAGAGATTATTTTGGTGTTATGATTTTTATGATTCACTTTTCTACTTCAGACCTACATCTTGAGCTTCGGCCTCGGTCTCCTTCCAGATGGTATAAAACACTCTGAACAGTTCAGGACTGACCTGCTTCTGGTGACCTAAAGGAAAGCAAACAAAAGAACACAATTTATTCCAGTTATTTTTATTGCAGTTATATAAAAGAAAAAGGTCCGAAAATAAATGCATGATGACACAAACAAAAATAATAATAATAATCCAACAGATTAGCACAAGAATATATGATTGTAACTATAGACGGAATGCTAAATTAAGACTTGTCATTGGCAGTAATAGTGGCGGCAAAAAATATACAGATAAACACTTAAACTATAGAACTAATCAATAACTTAACGAATCCAATACTTTTGCTTTTGTACTTAGCTACATTCCACATCGGCCCGAGTTTATTATTTGCCGTGTCTGATCGAAGCGTTCTGGAAACAGAGATAAACACATTCCAGCTCTTGTGTCCACAGGGAAATTCCAAGTAACAGGTTCAAGAAATTTTAACAGAAGCCAGAAGCGTGTTTCTCATTTATGACGTTCTTCCTTTTATCAAATATTAACCACAAAACCACGTTTGCTTCATGTTCAAATTCACTGGTGTTTTCTTGTTTCCGTCTTAAGTGATCGGAGATTACAGGGATGTGGTTATGTCAGAAAACATCTCCGTCAGCGGTGAAGTCGTATTCACGCTCCAAAATACTACGGCTGAAGTAGACGTAAAATCAAGTGAGAAAAGGACCATTTTTGATAATAGTCAAAAATCAAACGGCCCGAAGTTGGTCGAAGTAAAATAATATCTGGTCCATATATGAATTCTGCAGATACTGTATCTTCTTGGTCTCTTCAAACTAAATAATAATGTAGCGTAAATTATTATCACACAATACAATCATTTTAACAGGACATAAAACAGCAAAGCAACAGACAATGGTTCTAATGAAAGAATTCTCTAAATTCTCTAAATTCTCTAGCATGGGCTTTTGTACTCACAGTATATTATATTGCCATGGCGATTATAATAATTAGTGAACGGTGTATAATTCTGTTGCAATTTTAGACGCAGTTATTGAAGTCGGGGGTGGGCTATAATAAAATAATAAAGTAAAATATTGATATACTGGAGAGGATCATGTGCATTATAAGAATTATTCAAGATTTTTTATAAAGGCTGTATTCAAACACAAGAGATCAAACTGTGATTCCGGCCTTAAATACACAGCAATGACCTAAACACACAGCCATGGTTACTCTGGAGCTCCTTCAAGACATGGAAATCATTAACTCACACACATTATACTTGCTTCTTATTTTGCCAAATGTAGAGATTTTATACTTGTTTTTTTGAGGCTAGAGTATTATTTTATTTTAATTAGTATAGAGTTATTGGTCCTAGTGTCATGTCCTACTGGGCTTAGCAGTGCCTGAACTTCTCTTGATATACATTTACTCTCATTTTAATTATCTTGTCATCTTTTAACTCTATCCTAGGTTTGTATGAATGTGAGCGAGGGACTAATGCACAATTTCCTTCGGGACCACTAAAGTATTTATCCATCTCTCTGTTCTCTAACTGGTGATGCAACACTGACATTTCCCCGCTGTGAGACGAATAAAGGATCTCTTTGCCTAGATCAGGGATGTGAAAGTCAAATACATCAGAGCCCAAAAAATCTGCAAGCCGAGGGCCAGACTGATCCAATGTTTATCAAAACATATTGAAATTATGCATATAACGTATTGAACCAAGACCTAACACAGAGGAGCGTGTTTTATTTAATTATTAAATAAATAATCCAATTTTCTTTTATGGCTCTTGTCAACAGCTCACAGACAAAAACCAACTTCCTTCAAATGAATAATCCAAAATATCCTTATGGCTCTGTGCGGGCTGGTTCTAATGCTAATCAAATATCATCCCGGGGGCCAAAATCATTCATTCGAGGGCCGGATCTGGCTCCCGGGCCTTGACTTTGACACCCATGATCTGGATAATCAGCAGAGAAAAGGATGAAGGCGTTTGAGCGTTGGAAGGAGAGGTCTTACCCACAGTCAGGGCGTCGAACAGCCGCTGGATGGTGCCCTGGTCCTTGACGATGCCCGACTGCTGCACTCCCTTCACAAACTCCTCCAGGTGCATGTAGGTCTTGGGCAGTTTGAAGCGCTTCACCGTCCCGTCCTCGTAACTTTTACCGTTCTGTGCGCGCTCCCGCTCCTGGTCCCGCTTCAGTCGGCTTATGAGGCGCTTGATTTCTGGACGTTTTTCCATCTGCAGAGAGAGAGTTGGTCAGGATGAAAAAAACACAATTTGTCTTGGACCAGAGAAATTCTTGGTCAACTCTACAGACGCACCAGCCCAAAACAATCTACCAAAAATGACCTGTCTACTACAATTCTAAAAGAAAAAAACTAGATAAATATGTTAATAGGAATGTCTATAAAACTTAGAAATTAAGAGTATCTGATTAAAGAAAAAGGAAAAGAAAACTTCATCCCCATCTTTTCACTTTTGCAGTTTACCCATAAACATTCTTATAATAATATATACGAAAGCCCCATAGTTATACTTTATGAATGCACAAGCTCAGATAAACAAACACATCTGTATTGTCTGAAAAATTATGACCGAAAGGATTTAGGATTCATAGAAGCCTAACCCTATTACTATAACTTACTATGTCCAGAAACAACAAAATAGCAACAATCAGCATTCAGCATGGAGAAAACGGTAGAAAATACACATGTAGGGAAATGAGAGATTATACAAATAGTTTCTCATTGGATAAATATAAAATGGCCTTTCTTTGCTTCTTTAACTCTTCACTCTTTTGACTCTGCTGGTACCCAGAGTCAGAACTAAACATGGGGAGGCTGCATTCCAGATTCACGCTGCAAAAATCTGGAACAATCTTCCTGAAAATGTGAGACAGGCTTCTTTTCTGACAATGTTTAAAACCAGGTTTCCTTTGAGTTGTCTTGTGTGTGAATTGTGCTATACAAAGAAACTTGCCTTGCCTTTAAAGTTCTGAATACTGTTTGATGAGTATTCTTTTCGGGGGTCAAAGCCAAAACTGAAACAAATGCACAGGTAAATATTTGACTAACCATCAAGCGTTCAGTCTCAGGCAGAGAGTCGACCAGAGACTTGACCATCTGTGTGGGAAAGATGTCTGCGTCGGTTTTATACAGACTCTGGAAATCCTCGAGAGCTTCCAGGGCTCGGTTGGACACGGTGTTCACCAGACCCCGGAGGTAGTGGTACCTGAACACATTATTTTACTGTGGTTAAAAAGATAGACATAACTTCTACATCAGATGGACCGATTATTCTTCACTTGTTGCTGTGAGGGGGCGGGGCTTGCTAACCTGGCGAGCAGAGCGGCCTCTTCAGGTGGAGTAGTGTCAATGGCGCTCTTTAGGGAATCCAGCATTTGTGAATAGTACTTTTGGACATAGTGATACGCCAACGGAGGAGGGAAATCAGGAAGCCGGAATATTCTGATTGGCTTGTTTTGAAAGTTTAACCCTGTGAAGAAACGATAATTACAATATGCAGTTAAAAAAAACATACCAACCAGTTACCAGCCATAAATACAATAAATATGTTTGCTCAGATAATAGATCAGATACAACAATAAGGGGTCATGTGCAATACGCAGAGTTCATATGTTTTTAGCTAAACCCCAGCAGGTGACACAGAGTCTTGAATTGTAATTATAATGGCTTTATTAGACCACTGATAGAACATATTACATACTGTCCCTTTAAGACGATTTTGTTTAGTGGATTCAAATATGAGTTTTACTGTTTTTAGGTGGATCAGAAAGCCCTTGTTGGTATTAAAGTATTAAGTATTAAAGATGCTATACCCAATTTAATTTCTAATGAGTTCATAAAAATGCTTATTACTATACAAGTTGTATTATAATCCTATATCAGATCACAAATAAAACTAGATGGCTCCGTGGGATGAGAGCGTAGGGGAAATGAGAAGTCTGTGAGCGAGTTGAGGGGCGGTGCTAAACATTCAAACCTTGCAGAAACGGGTATAGCTCCTTTAATGTTTTAACCCTTCAGAGTCTACTGTATCACTAAATGGGTGGAGTCTGCTCTGCTCTCCCTGGGTCTGACAGAAAACCTGCAGCAGCCCTTTCTAGACTAACTTTGGACACCTCGGGTCCATGTGACGCAGTAGACTCTGAATCTTTAAAAACGTATGACCAAATAGCTGTTTTATTTGGTGAATTATGACGTTCTCAAGTTCCCTCAGCTCAGCCCAAAGAGTGATATAGTGAGAAAGTGTGGTTCCAATCTTTCATAAAAGCCATTGAATTTCTTATATTTTAACATGGTACATACTACACATTTCTTCTGACCTATATCTGGAGTCATTTTGCGCAGTGAGGCGTGGCGGCTGGGGATGAGGACCGTGAGTGCGTCCGTGTGCAGCAGGTTGGGCATACTGGCGCCCAGTTTCTTGCTGAGCCGGTGGTCGGGGCTGGTGTAGCTGCTGTAGCCGCTGCGGGACAGCTCAGACATCGGGGGCCGTCGTGAGGGGGTCTCCGTCATGGCACGAGTTCTGAGAAAGACACGTTAGACTGAGAGAGCGCAAACAACAGAGATCGAACCCAGGCTGCAGCGCCAAGGCAACAATCAGAGCCAATAATAATAATGACAAGTAGAGTTGGCCAATTTCAAAAGTAATAAGCCCAATAATGTAATCATGGGTTAGGCTCATTATTACGGCTCTCCGTGGCCGGCTCTCCGTGGCCGGCTCTCCTGTGGGCGTCTCACCTGTGGGCGTCTCACCTGTGGGCGTCTCACCTGTGGGCGTCTCACCTGTGGGCGTCTCACCTGTGGGCGTCTCACCTGTGGGCGTCTCACCTGTGGGCGTCTCACCTGTGGGCGTCTCACCTGTGGGCGTCTCACCTGTGGGCGTCTCACCTGTGGGCGTGGTTGCGGACGCTCTGCTCCATGCGGCTGTAGGCGTCTCTCTTCCTGTTCAGCCTGTCCCGCAAGAACGAGTGGAAGATGTGTGTTTCTAAGACCTGAGCACACAAAGAGCTTTATTCTACAGCGGCACAGCTCTCCAGGGACGTGAAGGGACACATGAAAAAGACCTTTCAGAACATTTCAGTCAATACAACAATAACGCTGACTAACTTTCAAACCATAAAGTATATACAGTACATATTAAAATCCATCCAATAACTTCCACTTGTATTTGATTTGTCTTTCTTGTTCCCTGTCTGCATCATTCTGCTGTATTTCTTTTTGATCTGACTGTTTTATGCAGACTGTCACTTTGCACTTTGTAAAATAATAATAATAATGCATCGGTTTTATATAGCGCTTTTTTGGACACTCAAAGACGCTTCGTAAACACTGTTTTAAAAAAGTGCTATAAAAATTAAGGAGAATTTATAATAATACTAATAATTATACAAAAACACTTTGTTTTCACATGCATGTATTGTTTGGCCTTTGTCTTTTTTAGACAGAAAAGTGAAAAAGAGGCGTTTTCTAATAAAACAAAGTCAGCCAAAGTCAGCTAAGTAATGTGTTTCTTTATGTTCAACTTTTGCATAATTCAAGCTTTGAATAATATAATTAATATAATATTCTTAATAAATAAATAATATAATTAACAATTCATTAACACATTATTATAATATTAATATAAAATACATGACATCAATACATTGCATGGCTTAATAAATTATATACTATAATACAATAACATTTACTTTTATACAACAGTTGCCACGAAGTACTTAGAAAATGATAATTTACCAATAGAAAATTTAAAAAAAATCAAACAATTAAACAGTCATTGGTCATTGGTCATGAACTAATGAATGACAGATGTACTTTCTTTGACAAACATAAAGCCAGCGCAGCACTGTCCATCTTTAAATCGCGGTTACCTTCTTATAAAACAGTTGGTCGGTCGGTTCTCGAGTCCTGAGGAACTCTTCACTGTTGAAAACGCGGTGTTCATGATTGAGGAAGTCCTGGACACCTCTGACGCAATCACAAAAATACACAAAATTAAAACTCTTTTTTTCATAATTTTTTTTAGTCATTTCCGCAGAAAAATTCCTACTTGAAAATGTTGACGACCAGCTCCAGTGCGATGTTTTGTATTTGAGTGTTGAGCCGCCGCAGCCAGTCCCGGCGCTGGGTCCGGAGCGAGTTCACGTCGGTCCCGGATCCCAGATGGCACAGCTCTAAGTCATAATGGACCTGAAGGCTCTCCGCTCTGCAGAAACACCAGAGAACACAAGTCATTCACAAACTGCACTATAGGAGATTGTTTAAGCTTCTGAATGACGCAAATATGTCTTTAGAGTTCCATTCATCCACCCATTTTTTTCCACTTTATCCTTTTTTGTTTCTCTCCGTTTTCCCGTCACCTCCCCCCCCTCCCCTCTTGGAAGGTCAGCATTATTTTATTATTATTTAAATGAATAATCACAAGAATGAGGGAAGGGCTGTACAAGACTCACAAGTGAATGGGGGACAGCTGGGAGAAGAAGAAGGAAGAGAGAATGGAGAGAGAGTGAGCAAATGTGTTAAATTGGTCAAAATACATTGAAAATAACAAAATAAATAGTTAAGAGTAAAAATTAAAATAAATGAAATAAATGAAATAAATGAAATAAATAAAAATAACCAAAATAATAAAATAAATAAAATATATAAAATAAATAAAATAAATAAAATAAATAAAATAAATAAAATAAATAAAATAATGAATACATAAATAACACAAATAAAAATGAAAAATCCTTCCACGTTATCCAATGCTGGGGTACGGGGGCAGCAATCTGAGCAGAGAACACTGTCTGTAAACTATTCCATGTTTTAATTGTATAAAAGTACCTTGAAGTAAAGCTCTCGGCTGCATGCAAAGGGATGGCTGGCAGTTTGATGCTGTCGGACCAAGACGAATGAATGAGGCCCTCGTCCACGTTTACCAAGATGAGGTCCTCCGTCTCCTGCGAACAAAGACCGTGTTAACTATTGAGCTTTGTGCACAGATTAAAAAAGGCAACAACTGTTTAAATGCAATTACTTAAACATACAGAAATCAATGAATGTTGCAAGACTCTGGGGGAAAAAAACTCAAAACAATGGACTAGTGTTTGCCAAAAAGACACAACAGAATGCAGTAGTTCATGATGAGGAGTTGAATACTTTGGATTCTTTTGCCGTTTAGGTACTGTTAAAGTAATCATACTAACTAACACTATTTAAAGAAGATTGAATTTTTTTTTATTTTTGTCTTTGACTTGAGTTAGAATTTTTTTTTTGTGGTTATGAAACTTAAGCGTAAATTCAGACTGGAAGAGAGGAGAACTAAGATCACAGCTACAGCATCGGTCAATCACACTCGCCTGTCAAATCCTCACCTGCGGCCATCAGACACTGCCCACATCAAGCTTCATATTGCGCAGAAGCTCCATCCAAGCAGTAGCTTCATTCACGCCGCAACCCTCCTCCTCCCCATCTCCGCCTCAATCTCGGCTCCTTCATCCTTCTCCTAAACTACCACCACCAGGGTCTCGGCCGCGGGGGATTTCATCTCATAATCTCTTTCCCCTTCTGCAATCGTGCTCTGCCGGGGTCTAAGCGCCAAATCCTAACCACATTCAGAACAGCAGCAATAAATGAAATCTTTAAAAAATTCTCCTAAGTGTCATGTGTGTAATTTATATTGTCAGATTACTTGCCATACAATTCTAATACCCATGGTTTGTCTGTTCGATGCAACCACATTTTTGAGTGACATTGTTTTAATCAATATTGTAGTTTGAAATGTACTAAATATATAAGAATGAGCCTCCTGTGTCAGAGATATTCACTACAGCAGGTTAGAGCTAACACGCCCAGTTATGATCAGGAAACATTCTTGCTGATTAAATATGCCGTGTCAATATGTACTCGTGGTTTGTGGTTTTATGCGGACGGGAAACTCACCGCAGCCACTTCTCCAAAATGACTGATGTGACAACCCATGAGGAAAGCAGTGGGCGCCATGAGGAAGTCCAGCATTCCTCGAGCCAGGACCGGGACATAGGGCTGCTGCCAGGACAGCGGCTGCAGCGGGACACACTCATATTAACGAACATATTACACGCACATTGATGTAAATCTGGTTTCTGAGTTCTCGACCTGCAGATATAGAAGCAGACTTTCAGACACCAGGGTTAATCTGGCCCAGTCTGAGGAGAAGAGAACCACCCTCTGTTCCTGGAGGAGGCAAGAGAGGATCTGCGAAGACAAAATGTGGAGAACATAAATGACATAGAGGGACTTTTTGTTGTAGGGGTCTGCCACCAGTTTTGACAAATATTAATCAGCTCATGCATAATTATACCACATAAAAGATGAAAAATAACCCAATTTTTCTGTTCTCTTCTTTCATTTTTCCATCACACTTCTTACAACTTCTATATGGACTTGTTTACTCTATACAGTGCATTGGAATAATGGTTTTACAATGAATTATTAGCAATTATTTATTGAAATATAATAATAATAATACATTTTTTCTTCCATGAATGCCTGCATATGTCATCATTTTCCTTAACCAAATAAACTCATTCTCATCCTCCGCTTCTCTGTAAGAAGGCCCTGGGTTCGAATCCCAGTCAGAAAAGGACATTTCTGAGAGGAGTTTACATGTTCTCCCTGTGTCTCCGTAGGTTTCCTCCGGGTGCTCCGGTTTACTCTACCACTAAAACATGTACTATAGCCATGAAAGGAATGAGTGAGTGAATGGAGGGTGTTGGTTGAGGGCTTTGATGCTCCAGTCTGTTCAGCGTCTCACCTTGGTCTGTAAAATGCGCTATATAAATATATATTACTTCCTTACTACTTACTTACAACCAAACACTAGCGCTATACTGTCAAGAATTACATTAGTAAGAATATCCATCAATGCAAAGTGAGGATGCAAAGACATTATGGTGAAAGTGGGAAAGCACCTTTTTTAGCTTTTGTATTAGTCTATATATGTACTTTTATGTAATGCTGTGTAAAATATATGTGTTAACTAATGTCTTATGTGTTCTGTTTCGCTATACCAGCCTCTACTAAAGACAAAAGCTCTTCTATAAATACTGGACGTTGAAAGCATTGAGAAAAACAACAAGTTTGTACAATTGCGTGTCAGAAAAGTCTTTGTGCGTCGATACCTGCAGCAGTGTTGCATGTGAGAAACACAGGAAAGGGAGGTGCAGGTCGATGTCTATGACGGGACTGTCCTGATCCCCTCGGGACGGAAGAACCACTTGCAGAGGCTGAAGGTTGAACGACTGAAACAAACAAAAATGAATTAGGAAAGAGCAGAAAATGTGTGTTCAAAAAAGCCATATTTTTGTTGTTGTTTACCACATGGAGTTGTCCTGGTGGCGGCAAAGGGACAAGCGATAATTTAGCCGAAAACTCTTTGATTTTCTCTTCAAAATCGGACTGTCGGGCCGGGCGCAACTGGACCAATAGACTGAAAAACACATTATTTGAGTAAGTATTTTAAAACAGCTTTATAATAGAATAAACATAGATTGTATAATGTATAACTTACCATGATAAACAGTCTTTGAGGGCGTTGTAGTACGGGAATTTCGAGATTATGCAAATCGTAAATGGGGTGAAAAGACGACACTTGGAGGAATTCCATCTGTGGCCATTTTCCTGACAAGCCTACAATTAAAAAAAAAAGCCATTATAGCAGTTGCTCTTACTGTTTTACTTCAAATGGAAAGGAGATTTTTGAATAATGTCTTTTACTTGTACAGCCCTGTAGTACTGGACCACTACTCCATGGGTTCGGTTTCCAAACAAGTCGGTAAAAACTAGGAAGTGGTACGTGTCGTCTTTTTGCTCATTGGCCAATTGAAGACCACCTGGTTCAAAGAAGATCAAATCAGTCTGTGCTGAATTCAATTAGAAGAAGGGGCTTGATGCTTTCAGAAACCAGTGCTGTTCTGATCGGGAAAGCAAAATGTCTAACTCATTGACTGCCAGTGACGTAATTGTCTGCGACCCTCTATTTGACTGGGGATTACAGGACAATAAAAATAGATAAAAACAAACTTATTTTTGCGGATCCGAGTAGGCAATCGAGTCTTTCGGAATCTGGTTTGACATTTGACATAGTATTAGGAAATAATATTCTGTGGGTCTTGAGAATCAGTGAAATCATCAAAAACGGCTGGCAGTCAATGAGTTAAGGCAAAGAGTTAGAGGCACTCGGATAGATGCAAAAATTCAGGTCAACACACAATCCAGATGAATGTAAATACTTCTGAACCGAGTGCAATTACAACTTCTGAGTTTATTTTATTTGATCTTATTCTATTTTACCATCTAATTATTCTATTCTACTGTCTATTATCTTAGATTGCACACATCAAACGCAGTCTATCATTTGACTGCTCTTATTTCCTTCTTTCTCCTACACATTTCCAGACTGTGTGACGAATAAAGGAATATCTTATCTTATCTAATGTCAAACAATGATAGTAAACAAAGCTGATTTTGGACACTTACTGCAGGTGTCTCCAACCTTTTATTTGTTTATTTATTTAAGGGACAGTGCATATTAATATAGATTATACATGTAAATATGCCAGAATTAGCCTAAGGGGTATTTTCCATCTGTGGTCCCTGGACAGTTGTTATGTGTCCTCCTGAAGGGAATACAATTACACATAACAAAATAAAATATATACAAATACGAAAAACACAAAACAAACATATGTCTGACTGCTACGAACTCACCAACAATATTTTTTTAATTTACACGCAGAGAGCTACTTTCCCGGGACGATAAAGGCAGAGAGCTCCTTTAAGCAGCCCTGGGAAATAATTGTGATGTATTGCTGTGAAAGAGCCTGATATTGGGTACAGTCATTATTTATTATTGTATTTTTGTTACTAGTAAAAAAGGAATTGCATTTACAATAATAAATGATGATACTAAATAACAACATCAGAAAAATTATGTACATTATTTGATTTGTACATTTCTAAATGCTTTGGCGAGCTACAAGTTGGAGACCCTTGACTTACAGCAGCATAGCTCTCAAAAACATTGTGGGCTGGACTGGGCTAAATTCCAATTGAAATGGGACTTGTTGTAGAGCGCATGTCGGAGTTTTACGGAGAGTACCTGGAAAACAGAGCTGGGGCAACGCGATGAGGTCCAGGTCTTTGGGGACGCTGATGTCCTCGGTCACAGACGACGTGTCACCGCGAGTCGCAGATTCTCCATTGGACGCGGTCTCTGCTCGCTCACGCCTTTTCTGTGATTACACGCACATTGACAGGTTTAGATTGAAAATAGATTGTATTTTGATCATGGTTGTGCAAGAAAGTGGCAAGAGCTCTGGTGTGGGCTTTCCTGGTGCACACTGGGGATAGTCTTGCACAGTTTTTCCAATGGGGTTTTACTGCAAATGGCAATCTTGAATCTTGCAGTTTATTAATATAGTGCTTTTCACATATCAGGGTTACAAAGTGCTACACATAAAAACACAATAGAACTAAATAAGGTCTAATACAGCCACGGTAGGACCTATTGGTCGTGGGTTCAATTCCCCCACGGCCAATGTCTCTCTGTCATTGATATCTGCTGTCGTGGTGTCCCTAGGCAAGACACTTAACCCCTCTTTGCCTGAAGTCCCTGCTGAAAGACCATGGCCGTAACTTTGATGATGGAAAAGCCACGCCCCCAACTCAGAAATGGAGTAATAAAGAGGAAGAAAATATTATAAGATTGTAGTATTGTCACTTTTCTGATATTTTGATTTTTCATGCTGTGATATTTTGATGGTATTCTGTTTTGATGGTCACAGATTGCAAACAGAATGTACATGTTAGAGTCTGTGGACAATTTTAAGTCGCAATTTAAGTCCTATTTGTTTCGGGAGCTTTCACCGTACATAGGCCGATATCTGGAGTGGGTTTATAAATATTCTGTATTTTCGTTTTTAATGGAACTGACTATGTAGGCTTAAGGATCCTGGCCGCTATATACATAAACTTTGGTTACTCATTTACTGTATTTAGCATAGATTGAATAATACCAGTAAGTACATGTTGCTATAGAGCACAGTCAGAGATGTCCTTGTGCTTTATAGAGAGCCGGTAATAAACAACAGGAACAAAAAGAAAAAAAACAGGATGAACTGAAAGCTATCGGTAATAATAAGCTCTCTTCAGCTGTTTTCAGATGAACCAACAATCGGCAAAGAGATCGGAGCACAGACTGTAGAAGAAGCAAAACAAAACTTCAGGAATGTCTCTCTGTAAATGTTTTTTGCTTTGCTTCAGTTCCACATTATTCAGTTTCTCTACATCCATGAAAACTACCAGAGCAGGCGGCTTCACCAGTTCAAGCCATATGTCAGGTCCTGATATGCACTGCAGGGTCATTTCAAATATGAATATGTGTATTTTTGTAGGAAAAGAAAGTATTTTTGAGAAGGAAAACAGTATTTGGATGAAACAGGACAAATCACTTCAAAGAATCAGAATCAGAATCAGAATCAGAATCATTTTTATTGCCACGTAAGTAACAGGAGGTCACAGACTTGGAAATTGCTTTGGCTCAGTGCAACAGTCAAAAAGAGATAAGAAAAATAAGAAAAAAAACACTTCTAAAGAATAAATTTAAATTTAAAATAGAGTTACAGTTACTATTTACAATATACAAGTGCACATGGTGCACACAATGTAAGGTGACAGCAGTACAGTGAAGTAAAGTGACGTATGATGGGCAGTAAAGTGACTTTAAAAGGGCGGGGGGACAGGTTAAGAAGTGTTCAAGAGTCCAACAGCAGAGGGGAAGAAACTGTTCTTGTGGCGGGAAGTTCTAGTCCTGATGGACCGCAGTCTCCTGCCTGAGGGGAGTGGTTGGAATAGTCCATGTGCAGGTGAGAGGGGTCGGCTGTGATACGACCAGCCCGGCCTCGAGCTCGGGCGACGTACAGGTCCTGCAGCGATGGATGGCTGCGGCCGCTCACTTCCTCTGCAGAGCGCACAATGCGCTGTAGTCTCTGTTTGTCCCTGACTATGGCTCCAGCGAACCACACGGTGACGGAGGAGGTGAGGATGGACTCGATGATGGCCGTGTAGAACTGCACCAACATCTATGCAGGCAGCTTGGCTTTCCTGAGCTGCCGCAGGAAGTACATCCTCTGCTGGGCCTTCTTGATGAGGGAGCTGATGGTCGGCTCCCACTTGAGGTCCTGGGTGATGGTGGTGCCCAGGAAACGGAAGGACTCCACAGAGGTGATGGGGGAGTCCATCACGGAGGGTGGGGGCGGGGGGACAGTGCTCTTCCTGAAGTCCACAACCATCTCCACTGTCTTCTGGGCGTTCAGCTCCAGGTTGTTACCACTGCACCAGGACACCAGCCGGTCCACCTCCCTCCTGTAGGCAGACTCATCGTTGTTGGAGATGAGTCCAATGAGGGTGGTGTCGTCCGCAAACTTGATCAGCTTCACGGAGTCGTGGCTGGAGGGGCAGTGGTTGGTGTACAGGGAGAAGAGCAGGGGAGAAAGAACACAGCCCTGTGGGGCTCCTGTATTTATAATCCGAGAGTCCGAGACATTCTTCCCCAGACGCACTCGCTGCTTCCTGTCTGTCAGGAAGTCAGTGATCCACCTGCAGGTGGAATCGGGCACGTTGAGCTGGGAGAGCTTGTCCTGGAGCAGGGATGGCAGGATTGTGTTGAAGGCAGAGCTGAAGTCCACGAACAGGACCCTGGCGTAGGTCCCCGGGGAGTCCAGGTGCTGTAGGATGTGGTGGAGGGCCAGGTTAATGGCGTCGTCTACAGATCTGTTGGCTCTGTAGGCGAACTGCAGGGGGTCCAGGAGGGGGGAGGTGAGGGACTTGAGATGGGAGAGAACCAGGCGTTCAAATGACTTCATGACGACAGACGTAAGTGCTACAGGTCTGTAGTCATTGAGTGCTGTGATCCTGGGCTTCTTCGGGACGGGGACAATGATGGAGGATTTGAAGCAGGCCGGGACATGGCAGGACTGCAGAGAGGAGTTGAAAATGTCAGTGAACACAGGAGTAAGCTCACTGGCACAGTATCTCAGAGTGGCCGGAGACACGTGGTCCGGGCCAGGAGCTTTGCGGGGGTGCAGCCTCAAGAAGAGTTGTTTAGTCTCTTTAGAGGCTATTGTTAGGCTGGGGGCAGGGCTGATGGGTGGGTCGTTAGAGTAGTGGGGGGTGGGGGAGGGAGAGGTGTCAGGGGCAGCATCAAAGCAACTGAAAAATAAGTTCAGATCGTCAGCTAGCTTGTGGTCGTCAGCACAGGGGGGGGCTTTGGGTTTGTAGTTGGTGATCTCCCGTAGGCCCCTCCAGACAGAAGCAGTATCGTTGTTACCAAACTGCTCCTGCAGTCGTTCTCTGTGCCGGGACTTGGCTGCTTTCAGTTCTTTCCTGAACTGATATTTAGCTGCTTTGTAGCCGCTGCGGTCCCCCTCCCTGAAAGCAGACTCCTTTTGCTTTCCTGAGCTGCCGGAGTTTAGCAGTGAACCAGGGTTTGTCGTTGTTATAGATGACCCTGGTCCTTGTTGGAATGATGCTATCCTCACAGAAGTGAATGTATGACGTCACAGTGTCCGTATATTCATCCAAACTATCTGTGGCAGCTCTGAAAAGGTCCCAGTCTGTAGATTCCATGCATGCGCGCAGCTCTTCCACAGCTTCATCAGACCACACTTTGGAGCTCCTCATTGCAGGTTTCGAGAGCTTTAGTCTCTGTCTGTAAGCAGGAACCAGATGTATCATGGAGTGATCTGAGAAGCCGAGGGCTGGCTTGGGAACAGCGCGAAAAGCTCCGCGCACGGTGGTGTAACAGTGATCCAGAGTGTTCTCCTCACTGGTCGGGCATTTGATAAACTGTCTGTATTTGGGTAATTCCTGGCTCAAGTTTCCCTTATTAAAATCCCCCAGGATAATAATCAGAGAGTCCGGGTATAAGCGTTCCATACACAGTACTTGCTCTGCGAGTGCGCGCTGAGCCTCGCGCGCGTCCGTGCATGGCGGTATGTAAACAGAGGCAAGAATGAATGAAACAATTTCGCGCGGGGAGTAATATGGTTTACAATGAATGAAAAGATATTCCAGAGCAGGAGAGCAGTGCTTGGAGATAATAATAATAGAGAAGCCAGATAATTGTCCTGCTGTATGACTTTATAATGATCCAGGGTCAGGGTGGCGATAACAATAACATTTTGCAATAACTATAAAACAATAAAACTCTGATCACACAATTACAGAGCAGGACCATCTCAACACAATGGATATAAATCATTGTTTTGATAATAAAAAGCCTGAGTTAAAACAATAACAGACCAGTCTCTCGCTCTGGTCTCTCTCTCTGGCCTCTTTCTCTCTGGCCTCTTTCTCTCTGGCCTCTTTCTCTCTGGCCTCTTTCTCTCTGGTCTCTTTCTCTCTGGTCTCCCTCTCTCTGGTCTCTCTCTCTCTGGTCTCTTTCTCTCTGGTCTCTCTCTCTCTGGTCTCTCTCTCTCTGGTCTCTCTCTCTCTGGTCTCTCTCTCTCTGGTCTCTCTCTCTCTGGTCTCTCTCTCTCTCTCTCTCTCTCTCTCTCTGGTCTCTCTCTCTCTGGTCTCTATCTCTCTCTCTGGCCTCTCTCTCTCTCTGGCCTCTCTCTCTCTCTCTGGCCTCTCTCTCTCTCTCTAGCCTCTCTCTCTCTCTGGCCTCTCTCTCTCTGGCCTCTCTCTCTCTCTGGCCTCTCTCTCTGGCCTCTCTCTCTCTCTGGTCTCTCTCTCGCTCTGGTCTCTCTCTCTGGTCTCTCTCTGGCCTCTCTCTCTCTCTCTCTGGCCTCTCTCTCTCTCTGGCCTCTCTCTCTCTCTGGCCTCTCTCTCTCTCTGGCCTCTCTCTCTCTCTGGCCTCTCTCTCTCTCTGGCCTCTCTCTCTCTCTGGCCTCTCTCTCTCTCTGCTCTCTCTCTATGCTCTCTCTCTCTCTGCTCTCTCTCTCTGATCTCTCTCTCTCTGGCCTCTCTCTCTCTGGCCTCTCTCTCTCTGGCCTCTCTCTCTCTCTGCTCTAAAATATAATTTAAAAAAAGAATAATAATAATAATAATAAAAAAATGGCGTGACAAACATAAGCTGAGTGACCTTCTTGATGAAGCTCTTGCGCCTCTGCACGCGGCTGAAGGCGGGCTGACTGGAGTTGGTTTCCTTGGACACGAACGGCGGCGCGTGGACCTGCAGCACCTCCGCTTCCAGAGACGGGAATTCACTGCTTCTACTCTGCAGCTGCAACTGACAAAGCAAAACAAGATCACGTTACCAGCGTTTTATTGTTCGGGAGCGTAACCAGAAGGGGGCCACGACCCTTCTGGAGGCCACGACCATTAAACTACGCCATCTCCTCCTGAAGTGTGGTGGATGGCAAACTGAACTGCTGATGATGCATTTGTCACTGCGGTTAGGGCTGGAAGGGCGCCAGATTATAATGCACCATACTGTATAGTGGGACAGAGAAAAAAATGCAGAAAAGAAGATTGAAGCTGCTTTTGATATTAAAGGGCCCATATCACGGTTTTTGAGTTTTCTCTGCTTTAAACATGATTACAATGCTATTTGGCCTTCATACACAAGCCCACAGTAGTTTATTCATTGATTCTGTCAATCTTTTGTAAGAGAGCAATCTGTCTCCTTCCCCAGCGTGAGGCACAGAAACGCTCGGGTCCACCTGCTTTGTATTTAAAATAGTTGTTAAATACTTTTGTCAAAACGGGGTAAACAATACACAATTAGTATGCTGTTTTTTGTCAAAAATAATAAAAATAAAAATAAATTAAAAGCCGGCGGGAGGTGATTGACGGATCAAAACAGCGAATCAGAGCGCACAGGCTCCGGCTCCCGAGTCCAGCGTCTGTGGTCTGGTCTCGCGGACACCACATAGAGCTGCTGTTTTTATGCTTTTGTCAGCGACTAAAAGTGTTAGGATCACGTCAACTTGAATGAAGTGTGTTATGGGTGTAAATATGTGACACACTATTTCGGTTCACACTCTCCGGTCTCGCACTTTCCGGTCTCGCACTCTCCGGTCTCGCACTCTCCGGTCTCGCACTCTCCGGTCTCGCACTCTCCGGTCTCGCACTCTCCGGTCTCGCACTCTCCGGTCTCGCACTCTCCGGTCTCGCACTCTCCGGTCTCGCACTCTCCGGTCTCGCACTCTCCGGTCTCGCACTCTCCGGTCTCGCACTCTCCGGTCTCGCACTCTCCGGTCTCGCACTCTCCGGTCTCGCACTCTCCGGTCTCGCACTCTCCGGTCTCGCACTCTCCGGTCTCGCACTCTCCGGTCTCGCACTCTCCGGTCTCGCACTCTCCGGTCTCGCACTCTCCGGTCTCGCACTCTCCGGTCTCGCACTCTCCGGTCTCGCACTCTCCGGTCTCGCACTCTCCGGTCTCGCACTCTCCGGTCTCGCACTCTCCAGTCTCTCTCTCCAGTCTCTCTCTCCAGTCTCACTCTCCAGTCTCTCTCTCCAGTCTCTCTCTCCAGTCTCACTCTCCAGTCTCACTCTCCAGTCTCACTCTCCAGTCTCACTCTCCAGTCTCACTCTCCAGTCTCACTCTCTAGTCTCACTCTCTAGTCTCACTCTCCAGTCTCACTCTCCAGTCTCACTCTCTAGTCTCACTCTCTAGTCTCACTCTCCAGTCTCACTCTCTAGTCTCACTCTCCAGTCTCACTCTCCAGTCTCTCTCTCCAGATTAACTAAGGAGCAATTAGTTGATAAAGTAGTGACTGTACCTGATAAATGTCACGCAGTTTATCGCTGGAGGCTCCCACCACCACACAGGCCTCCAGGAGCCCAGAGGGAAGCTCTGTCATGACTCTGCCTGCGACACACAAATACATCACATTTATAACTCATTTACAGTTGCACAGTTTTTACAAAGGATAATAATACAGCTATAAATATACATAGGACCAAACGCACCCAACCCAAAGTTTCTCATTCGAAATATGCAACATGTAAATTGAAAACAGAAAGCAGAACTGAAAAAGAAAAAGAAAAAACCCATGCTTGCATTTTTTTCCCTTTAGACGAAAAAATCCCAACGTGCTAATCAATAATTGTATTTTAGCACTTTTAACTGGCTTTTTTTTCTAATCTGCCGTAATTTACAACTAAAGTCCTGTAGGCACTAAACAATTTTCTGTGAAATCTAGGCCAAGTTACAAAATAAGAAAAGAAACATTAAAATAATAAAACTGTTAGACAAATATAATGACAGAACATTCATTCATTCATTGATTTTTATTTTATTTTTATGTTCAGTTGCTTCCAGGCATCAACAGCAGTATCACATTATTGTTGATGACCCAAAGGCAGTTTAGAAAATCAAACAATCAGATTTAAAAGGAAATTCAACAATAAAAAACCTAATAGTCATTGTACAGTAGGATAATGGGTAAACAAAGTGTCTGGTGTAATGCCCACGTCCAGATACAGTCTATGGTCCAGAGGCAACACTTTTCAGGTCATCCCAGTCGAGACATTACACTTTTTTGAGAATAAAAATACAACAACAACAGTTACTGCATGATCCTGTTCGACCAAAACCTTATTATGCCACAGGGTAAGTCTTCAAAGTAACAGTGAGAGCACAGGAAATGAGGGTCCAGCTTTATATTAGCTCGTAAACCTGATGTGGTTATGGCAGTTATTGCAGCAGCAGCAGCAGCAGCAGCAGCAGCAGCAGCAGCAGCAGCAGCAGTGCACTCTCCTCATGTTAGATTCTGGTTAAAGGGAAGTGGCTGAGGTTCTGTCTGTTCCGTTTTGGGCTCTGTGGGAGAGATCCGTCACCGATCTGTTCCGCTTGAACATTCATTTTGTTGGTATAAAAAGACACATGTTTCAAAATAACTTGAAGTGAAATGGATTGCTGAGCCACTAGACTTTGTTCCAGTCAACTTGTGATTGTTCAGTTAACAATGGGTTTTGATGGTAGGATATAGATCATATTTTAAACTGGTCCTGAAAAAATAACAAAGTGTGATTTGTCTTCTACAACTGTCCTGATACTAAAAAAGGTATATTAGAAGGATTTTCCCCAATTTTTAGGAAAGAACCGCCCTCTCCACTTGTTGAACCAACCTCTGTGGTCTTATTTGATGAGCATGTATCACCATAATGGTTGCCAATAGTCTTGATGATCCACCCGGAAGTAAAAAATCCTCCCATATACTTTGAGTTTATAAAAAACAGACCACTTCAGGACAAAACATTGACCATGGACAGAAGGAATTCAAACTATACTTTTTTGAACTGTGTCTTTGGCATTTGACCAATCCTTCAATGCCTATAGAGGGAAACCTGTGAGGAGCAGGGGTCACTACTGTGCAGCGCCCCGAGGAAACTTTTTTAAAAAAATGTAATCCCAACAAGATGTCTTAATCTACGTGTAAGAAGGAGCCACAACACATCCAGAACTCTGCCGCCCACCTGCTCACCCACACCCGCTCCAGAGACCACATCAGCCCTGTCCTCAAACAACTCGACTGGCTCCCTCTCCCATCACACAGCCGATACAAAGTCCTCCTTCTCACCTTCAAGTCCCTCCATAACCGGCTCCTTCTTACCTCACTGACCTTCTCCATCATCACTGTCCCTCCCGCCGCCTCAGATCCGCAGACTCAGACCTCCTCACTCCCTCAGACCCGCAGACTCAGACCTCCTCACTCCCTCAGATCCAGACTCAGACCTCCTCACTCCCCTCAGATCCAGACTCAGACCTCCTCACTCCCTCAGACCCACAGACTCAGACCTCTTCACTCCCCTCAGACCCACAGACTCAGACCTCTTCACTCCCCTCAGACCCACAGACTCAGACCTCCTCACTCCCCTCAGACCCACAGACTTAGACCTCCTCACTCCCCTCAGACCCACAGACTTAGACCTCCTCACTCCCCTCAGACCCACAGACTTAGACCTCCTCACTCCCTCAGACCCACAGATTTAGACCTCCTCACTCCCTCAGACCCACAGACGTAGACCTCCTTACTCCCCTCAGACCCACAGACTTAGACCTCCTCACTCCCTCAGACCCACAGACGTAGACCTCCTCACTCCCTCAGACCCAGACTCAGACCTCCTCCCTCCCTCAGACCCACAGACGTAGACCTCCTCACTCCCTCAGATCCACAGACTCAGACCTCCTCACTCCCCTCAGACCCACAGACTTAGACCTCCTTACTCCCCTCAGACCCACAGACTTAGACCTCCTCACTCCCTCAGACCCACAGACGTAGACCTCCTCACTCCCTCAGACCCACAGACTTAGACCTCCTTACTCCCCTCAGACCCACAGACTTAGACCTCCTCACTCCCTCAGACCCACAGACTCAGACCTCCTCACTCCCTCAGACCCACAGACGTAGACCTCCTCACTCCCTCAGACCCACAGACGTAGACCTCCTCACTCCCTCAGACCCAGACTCAGACCTCCTCCCTCCCTCAGACCCACAGACTTAGACCTCCTCACTCCCTCAGACCCACAGACGTAGACCTCCTCACTCCCTCAGACCCAGACTCAGACCTCCTCCCTCCCTCAGACCCACAGACTTAGACCTCCTCACTCCCTCAGACCCACAGACCCACAGACTTAGACCTCCTCACTCCCCTCAGACCCACAGACTTAGACCTCCTCACTCCCTGAGACCCACAGACGTAGACCTCCTCCCTCCCTCAGACCCACAGACTCAGACCTCCTCCCTCCCTCAGACCCACAGACGTAGACCTCCTCACTCCCTCAGACCCACAGACTCAGACCTCCTCACTCCCTCAGACCCACAGGCGTAGACCTCCTCACTCTGGAACTCACTCCCACAACCATTCACTCACTCACACTCACTACTCACTAACATTAACAACTCTGACTCACTACAGAACTTTCAATCACTTCTCAAAACCCACCTGTCTCTGCCTTTTCTTAATTTTGTTCTTCACTGTATATTTTTGTGTGTTTTGTAAAGCAGCTTTGAGTGTCCAAAAAAGCACTATATAAGTCTGATGCATTTTTATTATCATTATTATAAAACATGTAAAAACTAGCGATAGAACACGGTTGTGAAAGTGGGGAACTATAGCTGGATGTTTAAAATGGTATCGTTGCATATTTGTATATAGCTTGAAAGCAATTTATAGTGTGGTCTAACCCTCTTCTCATCCCTTTCCCCTTTGTTCCACCTTGTTTACGTATTTTAACTAGTGGCTGATCTTTACAGGTCCACGGGAGTTTCCGGTGGCTCCCTGCTGTGCGCCAAAGTCACAGAGACACTTGAAAGTCTATTCCCCAAAAACACTTCTAATTATAAATAGATTTTCACATGAGCTGCTCATTAACTCAACCACTGCACTTTGTTATGGCGGCGCTGCAGTTAGTCATGCACGTCTGTACTTCAGTAACTCACGTAAATGAATACAGATGCAAGCACGAGAAGATACAATACACAATACAATACTTAAAAAAACATTATATTACTGCCCATTATTGTTGACAAAATGCTGTAGTTCTGACACAATTTTGAATAAGGCTAATTGATCAAATATATAAATCTTATAAATGTGAAGTCAGTTGGACTCACTATTCACTGAAAATACAAAAACAAATGAGATTGACAGCCAGGCAATACATATTTGGATAGAAAAAACACGCTTTTATTCATAGTCTGGGTTTGATTCCTGGACGATAACACAGCTTTGATTATAGAATATAGTCAATGACAAGAGGATTATATACATTTTCCTCTTAAAGGGAAAACTTTTACAGGAAAAGATGTTGTATTTCCTATTGTGGAGTAACCCATAACCCCATAACATTCGTGACAACATAAAAACATGTGTAAGTATAACACAGTTCAAAAATAAATACAAAACTTACCTATAATATATAAAGTATACATAAAGTATGCCAACCTTCTGATTTTTTTCATGATATAAATATTTTGTATGTACTGAACTGACGGAAGCAGTAATACCTACAGTATGTTAAGATGGCAAGAGGTGGGATTTAATACTTTGTAAATCTTTGAACAATACTGTTTTTGTTGTAAATTATAACTTGTCTAAGCTTACACACTTTAACTATATTATTCAAAACAAATAAGCTAAACTAAATGTCCACTCTTGTTTTACTTATGTAGTTGTCTGTGCACATACTGGGGACTTTTGCAAATGTATTCCACTGTGGTTTTACTGCAAATAGCAAAAACAATGAATCTGAATCTGTATATTATATTCATTTAAATTCTGAGACTTAAAAGGCAGGCTGGTGTTGCGACACATTGCACACACCTCACCGTGACAGAAACGTGACAGTCATTGAGACGCTTTGAAACTAGTCTGACTTCATATCTTTCACAAAAGGATCTTGAAACTATTTGAAGAAGCTGTGCCTGGAAGGACAAGTAAGAGAAAACACATGTGGCTGCATAATGGATTACATAATAAAAGTGGTTAGAATTCAACGTGAAGAAATGGGAAATTGCATCTGTCTGTCTCATAGTATTATTTTAGGGACACAATTCTTCATTACGTCAAAGTGCACACACATAGACAACAATTAAAGAGAGTCAGTGGAATACAACCATTTCTTATATTGTCAACCTCAATTTCCACAGTTTTTCATGTGTAAACATACAATACTATTCCTAATGTTTTTTGTGTGTTGAGCTGCTTCTGTTCTGAAAGCTGACAATCAGATATGAAACTGTCAGTGTGGTTTTTCGCCCACAGAAACAGGCAGGGAGAATATATTTCAGAGTCAAAAATAAATAATGTGCATGAGGCGATGGCAGATACGAACGATTTGGCACAACTATTGACATAGCAAAGTTAAAAATTAACACTGACCTGATCTTATTGAACCATTTCCACTTGAGGCGAAGAGAAGACTTTACATCGGCTCCTTGTGCAAAACTTTTTATTTTAACTAAATTATGTGTTTGTCCAGACCTTAAACTGTTCTAAGTCCAGACTAAAGCGCGTATGGTTCCAATGACACAGACTGGCGCAAAGTGAGGAGGGAAAGTTTGGCTCAAGTTTAGCGCAGAAGCTCTGGCTCTACTTCCCGTGGAGAAGATTTCAACATAAAATAGTCCTTCTGCACCAGCGCAAGGATATGAAGCCAATGACCCCACCTGCTGTTTTACCCGGGTATGGGATTGATATAACTTGATATGTATGTGGTTGAAAAAAAACTCATTCGAATTTAAGAGCGTGTAATGATAATCTGTTTTGGTTGAATCTAGCCGTTTCTTACGAGTACGGTGTGGGCCCGTGGCGCGCCGTGATCGTATAGTGGTTAGTACTCTGCGTTGTGGCCGCAGCAACCCCGGTTCGAATCCGGGTCACGGCATTATTGGTCAGACTGTTTTGACTGGAGTCAATGTTTTAATCATCAATGAATCACACATTTCACATGAGTATTCAATCAATTACTCTGTATCTGTTTCATTATGAGTATTAATAATAATAATAATGCATCGGTTGTATACAGCGCTTTTCTGGACACTCAAAGACGTTTTACATGTCATTATTCTTTCACTCCATACACGGTGGTGATAAACTACTACTGTAGCCACAGCTGCCCTGGGGCACACCGACAGAAGCGAGGCAACCAGTATGCGCCATCGGCCCCTCCGACCACCACCAACCATTCACACACACACACCAGACTCATTCTAGGCAATGGGGGTGAAGTGTCTTGCCTAAGGACACAACGGCAGTTTGGCAGTATTCAATCAATTACTCTGTATCTGTTTCATTATGAGTATTCAATCAATTACTCTGTATCTGTTTCATTATGAGTATTCAATCAATTACTCTGTATCTTTTTAATTATGAGTATTCAATCAATTACTCTGTATCTGTTTCATGATGAGTATTCAATCAATTACTCTGTATCTGTTTCATTATGAGTATTCAATCAATTACTCTGTATCTTTTTAATTATGAGTATTCAATCAATGACTCTGTATCTATTTCATTATGAGTATTCAATCAATTACTCTGTATCTTTTTAATTATGAGTATTCAATCAATTACTCTGTATCTGTTTCATTATGAGTATTCAATCAATTACTCTGTATCTGTTTCATTATGAGTATTCAATCAATTACTCTGTATCTGTTTCATTATGAGTATTCAATCAATTACTCTGTATCTGTTTCATTATGAGTATTCAATCAATTACTCTGTATCTCTTTCATTATGAGTATTCAATCAATTACTCTGTATCTGTTTCATTATGAGTATTCAATCAATTACTCTGTATCTTTTTAATTATGAGTATTCAATCAATGACTCTGTATCTATTTCATTATGACCCTATGGATTGATACGATTTGATGTGTATGCGGTTGAATACAACTAATTCGAATTTAAGAGCGTGTAATAATGTGTTTTGGTCAAAATCGGTTTTTCATTCTGTCAGTGATAGAATCCAGGAGAGCGCCGTGATCGTATAGTGGTTAGTACACTGTAAAAAATCCAACTTGAGCTTGCTGAGATGACTCATTATTTTACTCCATGTTAACACAATTTTTTAAATTGCCATGTAAACTTTAATTTAATCCATATTTCAACAAACGTATATGCATTGAAGACCAAAAGTTGGCCACAGGTCACATTATTAGTTGGCAAAACTAAAAAGTCTGAATTTTCCATGTCCACGCATGCGTAGAATCTACAGCTTCAAACTTTGCAAGTCCTCTGTCCGCCATTTTCAGCATGCGAGGAAACTCTGGTCGTCTTCAAGGTAAGTATTTTTTTATTTTCTCTTCTTTTAATCTGATAATATACTAAGGATGACTTATATTTGAGGATATATGTGTATGGTGGTTAATATACAATGCGTTTGATAACATTCACAACGTTATTAATTCAAAATTGTGTTTAATAATATTGATAATTTTATATTATTATCTTGTAGTCATTGCCACACTGGTTTAAATCAAAATCAAACTGTATTTGTGAATTTTTGTCGGATAAAGTTGGCAAATAGGACCCATTTGTTAAGGGCGGAGGGATAATACGCGGGCACGGCAACGACCGGATTTGGCTTAGCTTAGCTTAGTTGGTACTAGCAGTTAGCCATAGCCATGCACAAAAGTTTAACTTTCCTCGTGGTGTGGTGCAATATCATACAGTCATGGATTATATCGGTGGTGTTTCACTCCTAATCCATCTATGTAGTGCATGCATGAGTGCATGGGGTGTTTTGTGATAATGGGATTTTTCAAATGAACACGGATCTATTTTACCTAAAGTATCAGTCCGCGCATACTGAAACGAAACCTACGGCGGCGGTGTGACGCATTGAAAAAGAAACGTCTCCGCTCGCTGCCACAATATTTGGTGTCCGAAATCCAAAGGGAATACTAATGCTGCTTTCGTGCATTATGAGAGACGAGCCTTTGCACAGATTATCATGGTTTGGTTGTGCCATTGATAAATAGACGTGGGGAACCGGGTTGCAGCCATGCTACACGTGTCTGTCTGTACTTTTAATCCAGCTCCATAAACACCATTCATTTTCCTAACTTATTTGCCAAGGTGTAATCGTAAAGACTCACAGACGTAATTAACATTTTACGAACTAAAAAGAAATGGATATTATTGATGTTGTAATGTAGTTCTTATGCTGAGTGTTAAAATAGAAAGCGAAATGTCTTGAGGGTTGCCAGTTTTGGTAACTTACTAAAACTCGGCAGTCAATTTTTTTCAAGTGTCCTGTTTTTTGTTAGGATTTCCCGTTTTTCACCCCTCTGTCCCGCCCCTCTCAGTATTTCCATTTGTCCCGTGTTTAGAGACGTAACAATTTGCCCTGGAGCAGGCTTCGCGATTAATTTTTTATGTATCTGTGCGCCGGAAACAGCCCCGTAAAGGCGCCCCGATGGTCAGGTTTGAGCGCCGTGCATCTGCGCTGTTAAATGTCTTTCTCTATGCTCAGAGAAGACGGTCATTGCACACGCACACACATGTCCGCGCACACCAGAGAACGGTACCAGCACCACGGACTAAGCAGACGGTAATAAACTGCGTGTAAGATAACATTTCACCAAACAATAAATGCCACCAAAATAAAAACATCCAGTGCCCCTTTTTTATTAACAATTTTGTGTACATAAAAAAGAGACCTGTGAGTCACTATAATGCTTTAAGCTGATTGGCTGAGTCGGGTGGTCCTCTTTCTAACTTTTCCGTCTGAAAAAGCTGATTTAAAATGTTCTGATTTGGAAGTTGGGTATACATTCATTATACTGGCTAATTTTATAGTATGTAATTGATGTAACCGTGTGTTTGTTTCTATATTTTCTATTCAAATCATTCAGTAAGTGCAATATATGTAATAGGTCATGCAACAACGTTTATTTTACCCATTAAAACTTTTTGTTTGTTTGTCTGTTTAGCTGTTTTATGAAGTGCCTTTTCTGCAACTTTGTGGGGTCGAGCCAAGACATTCTATTCAGACATCATCGTCTCCAGCATCAAAGAGGATTCTACTGGACATGTATCCACGCTGACTACGTTTGCACATTCAAGACGAGGTGCATTGATATCACACCTTAGCAGATCACACAATTGGACTACTAAAAAGCTAAATCTAAGAAACTTGTTTTGTGAATACTGTGATTTCAAAGACATTTGCTCACAAAAGTCCTACATTTCAAGGAAGTGAAGCAGTGATGGCCAGCTCTGTTCTGTAAAGAAGAGGTAATTTTTATTCTTCAGGCAATTAATTTGTAATGCTTCAGTGTGTCACTTTTATAGTTTACCTTTTTCCTTCTAGATCTGTTCGGAGTTTATGCGCATTACTATGAAGGACCTGTTGGATACCTTCATGAATGCTCTAGATGCCTATTCCATTCGACTGATTAAACTCTTCCGGGCCAGAAAAGCTGCCTATCATAACGAAATGGATCTCCTTCTACAGGTATCTGACAGCCAGGTAATGCATTTGTACCATAATTGGACTTGTTTGTGTACAGTGCAATGGAAAAGTATTTGTACAGCTTGAACTCTCGTATTTTTGTGGTCTTTCGGTAAAAAAAATCCAAAGTAACAAACAACTGTGAAGTGAAAGCAAAATTATACATTTTGTTAAATAAAAATAAAAGAAATTATGAGCTTGCATAAGGATTAGGACAGCATGAGAAAATATTATGTGGAAGCCTCAGCTCCAGCAGAATTTCTTCTAAGATTGTCCTGTATTTTGTGCCATCCATCTTCTCATCGACATACTTCCCTGTCCCTGCTGAAGAAAAGCCCAACAGCACCATATTTGACACTGGGGGTGCACTGCAGGAGATGTGTCATTTTAACATTGTGCCTATGGCTGGGGATGGGCCACCCTCCTGTCTCTGCTTCTCCTCAGCAGGGAGTTCATTGTGAAGGTAGATGGGGCAAAATACAGGACAATCTGAGTAGTAGTAGTGAGTAATGTTTATTTATATAGTGCATTTTACAGACCAAGGTACAGACCCAAAGCGCTTTACAATATTCAGAGTCAGATATTGTTTCAATCATTCCACACACGGTGATGACAGAAGAGAGTCCAGAACACACTGGACCATCAGCTCCAACACCATCCATTCACTCTCTCATTTACATTCAGACCTATTGTGCATGTTTTTAGTGAAGAAAAGCTATTGGAGCTGGAAACTTCTGTATTTGGATTTTTAAATAACAATAATGTATAATTTTGCTTTCACTTCACACTTGTCTGTTACTTTGTTGTGTCTTTCAGTAATAAAACATCCAAAATAAAGTATTTGTTTGATTGTAACATTAAAATGTGTACAATAGCACTCATGAAGAGAACCCAGAATTTATTGTTGTTTAGAGAAAAGTCTAATTGTATCAGACACAATGTGAAAGCGCTGGCCTTCATAATTTTTGATTATTATGATAGTGTAACATACTTATTATCATTTTAATATTTTTCATAGCATATCACATGGGAATTCAGATTTAAAGCCAAACTTCTTTTTGTGTTTTAGGTGTCAAACATAGTCCAGCATTGACGTGCTGCCTGTCTCAAGGGACTACCCTTACTCGTTCGGGACACTGCGAGCAAGCTGTTTCGGACATGCCTGGTAAGCAAGGGATTCTCACAAATTAAGTTTATATTATTTAGGAAATAATATAAATGCCTTTTTGTTTTTACAGGACACGGACCCAGTTGAGAGTATCGCCAAGGATATGAAGGTTGGAATCGTCAAAGTTCTGAAGGACTACACCGGACCTGCTGTAGAGCCCACTGTCATCAATATTGCCATTGTGCTGGAGGAGGACATTGTTCTTGATGAGCTGCTTCTGATGGACTTATGTATGGACTCAATATGGAATTTCCAAAGGATCACAGGTACACATTTGAAGTAATGCAACTCATCTTTATGGAGTTGACACCAGCCTGCTCCCAGCGAGTGAGGAGTCTGAAAACTAAGCTCTTAGTCTAAATGTCTTCAAGGGGGCATCGGAGTTTGTGTACTTATGGGTATTTGGTGGTATTTCCCACCTCTGCACCTTCTCCATTGACTCCCACTGATGACTGCTGTCGTTGTGTCCTTGGGCAAGACACTTAACCCCACTTTGCCCAAAGCCCCCACTGAAAGATCAAGGCTATGCTCACACTCAGAGAGCAGCCGTCCTCCTGTGGACTCACCACCTGCAGAGGGTCAGTGAGGGGCTGGTGCTATGAGACTTGGGTGGCATCTCTGACTGCCACCCCCCTGACCCAGAAATGGATTAAAGGGTAGAAAATGGATGGATGGATGGGTATTTGGATTTTCTTTTCAGAAATGGAAAATGAAAATGGAAAAACCAAACATTATTAATTTTTTGTCTTAAAGTACTAAATAATGAAATACAGAGCATGTTTCCAATTATTCATTACTAAATTAAGGAATTACTTTTGAAAATCGATTTTATATTTTCATTATTTACTCAAAATAATTAAATAATACTTTTAATCAAAATAATTAATAGAAATACAAAAAACCAACCAAACAAATCCAAAAACGGTCGGCTTTTCACTATAGTAAACCAGACTTCTGATGAGGGCCCTTGGGAAGAGGACGCAGAGAGCTAGCGGCCATGAGCCCAGGATACAAGAGCTGGAGCGGTGGGCTCAGAGCGCTGCTCTCAACCCCCTATGGCCCACGGGTTTGACCCATGATCCAGAGTGGTTCAAACCATAATGTGCAAGACCTCCGAAACACTGCAGCAAATCACCCACAGAGTGGTACCCACCAGCTCCTCCCATGGGCCCTCATCAGAAATCTGGTTTACTGTCATGAAAAACCGTCTGCTTTTGGAATATTTGGATTGTTTTTTGATTAAAATTGAAAAAATAAACATAGAATCGGTTTTTGAACTGAATTTTTTATATTTTTAATTAATAATAAAAAAACGCTCTAATTCAACATTTTGTTTTGGAATTTCAAAGAAAAAAAAGAGAATACTTTGTTTTTCTATTTTCAATTTTTGCTTATGAAAAGAAAATCCAATTACCTTTAAGTACACGGACCCATAGTGTACTAAACTTTATTGGCAACATTCCTGTTAGTACAAGTCATTTTTGTTGAAAGTTGTTAAATTTAAAAATGCGAACTTTGCTTCTGTCATATTTTGTGCTTTCTACTGCAGTTCGGTAGGTAGACGTTTAAACATTTACTATACCAGACTATGGAACCTAATTACTGTGTAATATTTTTTTAAGCACATACAATTTTTAACATTTTATGATGATCAGTTTTTCAATTGTCAGATCTGATCTTTCTAATGCCACTTAATGTGTCAGTATTGCTGACTGTGACAAAAAGAAAATTATACTAGTTTCAGTGTAAGTATGTGATAAAAAAAAAAAACTCTTTTTGCCAAATAAAAGTTCAAATCTTAAGTAAACAAAATGACTAAAAGGTGCAGTATTGGTACTTTTATCTGGTATAAAGTAGTGAAGAAGTACAGTTCATATTCAATTGTTTAAGACATTATGTCTTTCAGTGTTTCAAACATTTGTGATGTGGACAGACTGGTTCATGTGGGGGAGGCAGTGGGGGGACCGTCTAAATATGTCCACCATTTCAATTTTCTTCAGTTCTGCATTCATTAATAAAATGTTTTTGAACTGATAATTTGTTTTATTGGTGACTGTTAGGCTATCAGTAAATCACAAGTAATGTATTAATACTACTTAATAACATTAGAAAATGAGTTTAAGTAGTAAGGGAAAATGCATTGTGCTTTTGAAGAGTTTATTGAGCTGATTACAAGAAATGTATTGAGCTGATTACAAGAAATGTATTGAGCTAACTGTTATAAGTAAGTTAGGAAAGGAAAGAAAAATGCATTGTATCCACAACATATAATGCGCTCTGCAAACACATTTTTTGTTGTTGCCCTAATGAATATAAATCACTTCAGAAATAAAGGAATGATAAATTATGGGGACAAAAAAAAATGAGTTTGAGAAACATACTTTCAAAACTTAATTATTTGAGTTGGACGCTTCAACTCAAAAAAGTGAAGGGAATCGGTTGCCTTGACTTTTTGAGTTGAGATAGCGAATTTTTTTTTAGAGTGTACTCTGCGTTGTGGCCGCAGCAACCCCGGTTCGAATCCGGGTCACGGCACTGCTGGACGGACTGTTTTGACTGGAGTTTAATCATCAATGAAACACGCATTTAATTATGAGTATTCAATCAATTACTCTGTATCTATTTCATCATGAGCATTTAATCAATTATTCTGTATCTATGGATTCTGTGCCTGCATATCCCTATCAATAAGTCACTTTAATGACCTGCACTAGAACTGAAAACTGCACCACTAAAATCACTTTTATTTTCACACCCTGAGTGATTCTGTCTCATGGATCTATGCCAAATGTGTGTCTGTATGTGTGTGTGTGTGTGTGTGTGTGTGTGTCTATGTGTGTATCTACACGTATGAAACTTTTAGTGCTGTATTTTTCATATTGGGAACAGGGAAGAAGGAAGTTGTTTGGACATGAACAGAAAACAAAGAATAGTGAAAATTCATTAAAATAATAATAATAATAATAAAAACAGTAATGAAACTAATGAGATAGCGTAGAAAAAATGACAGAGGCAGCAGCAGTCGCACTTGGAACCCGGTTTATTCCTGTGTCCTTCCAGATCGAACAAAAGAAGGCACAGGCTTTTTATATGATGTGTTGCAATGTGCATCAGAAATATGTCCGAACAGACCATCCTTGAGTTATTAATGAGTACAGACAACCCAAATATAAGCAAGGTCTGCATGGCCTTAAATACTTTGAATCTTATTCCTTGAACGTTTTTCATATTTGTCCTGGGAAAGTCTAAACATGCTGGTCAGATTCCACAATAGTTGATAAAGAATAATAATAATTGAAATTGAGGTGGTTCTATTGTTGTAAATTCAGGAAATGTTGATTCAGATTCAGTAAAAACACAGTCTGAGAGCATTTTTTCTATTGTTGTGTGCTTATTATTTTTGGATTTCCAGCCAAAATCAAATCTTCTCACATAAATTCCCTTTCCCATATTTTGATATTGGGTGATTTTCAAAGGCACACCAACCAACATTTCACGGCACACTAAGTTGCCACGGCTCACTGGTTGAAAAACACTGGTGCGGTTTTTACAAGTGCTGCAAGTCTTTTTTTTTCTTCAAACAATACTATTTAAGAGCGTGTAATAATAATATGTTTTGGTTGAAATTGGTTTCTCCTACTGTCAATGAGAGGAGCCAATAGATCGCCGTGATCGTATAGTGGTTAGTACTCTGCGTTGTGGCCGCAGCAACCCCGGTTCGAATCCGGGTCACGGCACATTTTGGACGGTTTTAAATTTAAAGTCCGCACAAAAAAGATCAGCTAAATGTTGACTAATAATCGTCATGTGATATGTGTTTATTAGACGAACCACAATAGACACGAATAACTACAAACATATCCACAGGTTTGTCTAACTATGCGCAATGACAAGTGCCCACCGCCAGATGTCGCCCCACCACCAGGATACATGAGCAAGAGCGCATGCTGCAGTGATTTCTGTTTTATATATAAATAATGCCTCCTTTGTCATGTTTGTATGTGAGAAATTAGTGTGTGTTTAATGACAAACGCAGGACACTACAAGAGTGACAACATTCAGAAGAAACTACAGATAAAGTTTTTTGGGTGTTATATTTTTTAAAGTAACCCTCTCTCTATTTAACACCTTGTAAAGTACCTTGGCTCAAAAGTCGTTCATATATGGCTGGTGTTTTGCCCGGGGTACACCTCCTCTCTTTGGGTGTCCAGTCCTGTATCCTGTGTGTGCGTGTGTTTGGTGTGTGTGTGTAAGTGTACGTACGTGAGAGTGTGTGCCTACGTTCGCGTGTGTGTATTTGTGTGTGTCAGTACGTGTGAGAGTGTGTGTCTACAATTGCCTGCGTGTACGTCTGTGAGAGTGTGTGTCTACGCGTAAATGTGTGTGTGTACGCGCGTGTAAGACTAAGTGTCTACGTGCGCGTGCGTGTATGTGTATGTGTGTACGTGTGTGCACGTGTGTGCGTGGTGGGCTGCGCGGCGGCCATATTGGAATGCTGGATGTGGAGAGAGCAGAGAGGGGAAGGGAAGCAGGAACAGCCGAGCGCAGAGTGGGATAGACGGGAACGAAAAAACACCATCTCCCGCTATTCGCAGCCCCTGAAACTACCACCAGCGACGGATTAACCGACTACCAACAACCCACATCACCGGATAAGCCTGCACAAACCACTTGGAAGTCACTAGGATCACGCCAATGTAAGTAATAACATGTTTTTGGTGTTATTTCACTCGCTCCAACAACAAAAAATAAGGAGCTCGCTTACTTCCAGTCGGCACAAGGATGGCTATTTCCTCTGTAGATATGACATGAAGTATAAAGTAGTCAAACCCAGGACCTATAACACACCACTTCTCAACTTTCTCTGTGTGTGACCATTTATATCTGTGCGTAATAAGCGACTTGGCTCATGCGTAAAGACAGAAAGTGACCCACTGGCACAGAAGTCTTAGCCAGGGCAGGCACATGGAAGAAATGCAGAGTTACTTAAGTTGAACTCTTTAAAAGCGAAAGGATTAACCTACATTTTCTTACAAATCTCAGAACCACGTGTTTGTTTATTCTCTGCTGCTTAATTGTGTCAACACTCTGGAGCGAACTTGCTTCCTCAGCCTGACTCTTGATTTTGTGTGAGAGCTGGGTTTAGTTGCTGTACAAACAAGTTTTGTGTGATGGAATAGCCTGACTTGTGTCGCTATAACCGCATTATATTTGTCTTACCAACGTTTTTCATTCGCTTGTTTAGTTGGTGTGTCAATATGTAGTCGATTAATCGGTCAGAGGGCCCTTTCGATCGAATTTCGTTTTATATTATATTAGCAGATTCTCTATATCAAAACAGCAAAAATATGAAGACTAATGGATGGATTATTGATATACATGTCAGATCAAACTCTCATCTCACACTTTTAATCATAACTATATTGCTGAAATATTTAGCAAATCAATATATATCGATTTGTTGATACATTTTGAGTATAGCTACAATTTGGGCAAGATACTAATAATTTTTTAGGCATTTCCCGCGCCCCTATTTCAGTCTACTAATTGATCGACAAGGCATTCGACCAACCATTATATTTGTATTACCCCCACTTGTTTAGTTGGGCTGTCACTATGTAATCAATCGGTAAGTGGTTTCTTTTGACTGTATTTTGTGTTTTTACATTACAAGAATTACAAGAAAAATAGATTTGGGTGTTTACATTTATAGTTACGTCAGATCCGACTGTCAACTCACATTTAATCATGCTTTTTAGGGTCATCATTTGTAATTAATTTGCTAAATATTTCAGTGAGATTATGGCCAAATACTTCTTTTTTTCTTGATACACTTTGAGTAGCTACAATTTGGATCGGATACCAATAATTTTAAGGCATTTCCTGCACCCAATTTTAATCTACTACAAGGCATTCGACTATATTCAACCATTTCTTTGGTCCTTTCGCTTAGTATATTACGACACTCTTGCACCATGTTGTTTGGCGGCATAAATGGCATGTGTTGACTTATTTAGGATAGACAAAATAATGTCACCTTGAACAGTCACATTCAGAAAGTCAATACTGTTCACACTGCATACATTTTTGCTTCCAATGCGTACCTATCCAGCATATAAAACCATGCCCCTTACACCTTTTGTATTATTAATTTATGAAAATGCCCATGTGCATTTGCTCTCACTGTACTGGTGCAGTTGAGGTTGTGTTTTGTATTAAAGGTGCAAAGGAAATGCTAATGAACTGCAGTATCCTGAGGTCAGTGAAGTGATCAGTGCCTACGGTGGCCCAGCAGGAGCGTTGGAGAATGCTTATGTTTCCACTTCAAAGACAAGCAGAGCCCACGGCGTTCATTAGAGAGCTCGCTGAGATTGACTCATGTCAGGTCACGGTTTGGTCATTACCACTTTCAGAACGGACGGATATTTCTAGAGCAATAAATTATTTAAATATCGAAAAAGAGGATGTATGGACACATGTTTCTTCATTTGAATGAGGAGGTGTACTAGTGCTGTATTGTATCATTATCATCAGTTTGGTATTTGACTTTTGGATGTTATGTTGGGAGCAGTTTAAAAAGAAAGAAATACATACAGATTCAGGAAATATGTGTATTTTAAGTTCACCTGTCTTCTCTATTTCCTCCGTGCTGATTCTCAAGACTCATATATACCTAATCAGGAGAGAAAATCCTACATTTTGACGAGCTTTCAATCATATTTATTTCTGAGCACACAAACCAGCGGGCGTAATGATCTTGTGTCCACTTGTTGGTGTTGAGGTTGGGTTTCGTTACGGTCCAGTTACCCATCTTCGGCCCGCTCGCCGTGACCAAGCGCTTTGCACCAGCACATAAATAACAACACTTTAATCATCAGGCTTTGACCACGCGTCTGTGTGGCCAGCTTCACTCCGCTTTGCTGTTGCTTTGCATAGATGAGACCTTAGCTAAGTGTGCTTGAGATTAGAAAGAAATTTCTGCTCTTCATTCAAGAGGCGAGAAGACGTGTTTGAAGAATTATGTTAATTGCAATCAAAGTCGATGTTGTGTCGTCATTTTGCACCAATTTAAACAGCTAGTGATGGATCTCTCCTCTCAGGAAGAGGGAAAAGGCATCTTGAAACTGCCTTTTCAGTGTTATTCAAGTATTAGGCTTGGTACTTTGGTTGTAAAGCAAAAACTGACTCACTATTTCTCTGTTGCCCAATCTTTGATATGATGTTTTTCTCTCAAGACTAAACTATGACCTGAAGCCGATGAACGAGGATGGATGGATGGATATTGATTTCATGCTTAATTATAAACAGGATCATTTAAGGCTATATCCACACGAAGACAAAACGCTTATAATTTCAGAAACTTTTTCTGTAAACACGGAGTTAGCTCAGTAAATGTGTGCGTCCATATGAATGTAGTCAATACGCCTGAAAACGCTGTGAAACTATGCCAGACCTGTTGGTGGCGCTGTGACGCAATGACGGGATCAAGCCCAAACTTCCGTGGGCATGCGCGGAATTTTGTAAACAGACAACATGGCGCGTGGGCAAGCTGGTACTACATTAGTATGGACGGACGATGAGGTTGAACTGTTGCTTCGGGTCACACTGGATTACAAAACCAACAAGCTACATTGTTGTTGTCATTTTCTGAGTGCTGCGCATGCGTGCTTTAACAAGAGGCGGGGCGATGACGCAAGCGTCTCAGATACATTGCGGAGAGGCAGTAACCACGGAGCGGCATATACGGAATTTTGAAATCTTTCCACTCTGGGACCTAGTTTCAAAAATGTTCGTTTACACCCCCCCAAAACGCCGGCCTCGTATGGACGATACACTGGATTGATAAAGTATTTTAGCGTTTAGGCCTGAGCTTGACTTCGTGTGGACAGGGCCTAAATCATTGCCATTTATACAAAAACAGTCAGATTTGCCATTAGGGTTAGGGTCCAAACAGAACTGCAGACCGTCATATATTGGTCTAGGGGTGGGCGATATGGCCTAAAATTCATATCGCGGTATGATTTGGGTCACAGACGGTAGACGGTATACATCACGGTATAATTTGGTGTGTGAATTTCAATATAGGTTTAGCAGGTTCTTGCATAAAATAGTCAAGATTGTTACTTATCTATACATTAGAATCTGATATATATTTTTTGAGTTTGAAAATCAGGTGAGAGACAAATGCTGTAACATACATTATTTATGTATGTTACAGTAAAGACCATTAACTGTGAAAGCAATTTTAAATAATATAAAAATATAAAATATATTATATAATATCTGTAGCAGTTAGACATGGTCATTATTTATAGTGTCAGAGTTTAGTGCGTATGCATGGCTTCAGTAAAAGCTATTGTTCGTTTACAAAGCTAGTCTTGCCATTTGTTGACGCTCCCTAAGCGCTTGCTGTGAACTGGATGATTCAATGGATTTATCTGCATTATAACAGCGCATTTGATTTGAACAATTGATGTAAATGCTCATTTTGGCACAATTAATTTTGTTTAACAAAGTAGCTTTCGTGATCTATTGACCGCGGAAGTCTGAATCTGACGCTAACTTTACAAAACTTCTGAGATGATGCGGACACGGCACAAGCATGGATCTATTTCGGCTCACGATGGCGCTTCGAGCCTACGCCCCTTTGACACTCATTGGCCGAAAGGTAGACATGTAAACTGTGATTGCTGTGTGTGTATTTACCTCCGCTGGGGCCGCTGTGACCAATACAGAGACAGAAACACGGTGTGAAAGCCGTGCTGTTGTTTCCAGTGGTGTCTGCTAGGCTAATGCTGCTAGGCTAATGCTGCTGAATGCCGGTTTGTTTTGGTCCTTTCTGCTGGCGTAAGAGCCTGCGCAATTTGATGACATAATGACCTATCGCAATATGACGGTATAACAAAAATCTCTACCGTGGGCCAAATTTATACCGCATACCGCTTATACCGTTTATACCGCCCAGCCCTATATTGGTCGTTTAAATGAAATACTTTGAAACAACCGTGTTTTGTTCCCAACGATCAACAAAAAATCCACTTTAGATTAAAATACATCCAGAGCAAATACATTTACTACTTTTTATATGTCATTATTTTTTACTCCATGATCTGCACTTTCATTGTTTCTTTTTCTTTATCACAACTGTGCAGCTCTGCTTTTGAAAACGTATCCTTAAGGCTTGTAATTTGATCTCTATGCTTGGAAAGGACTCATGCACTTCTCTTTGCCACCTGCACAGTTCATAGAGAGCAGCAGTCTGCACCTGACTGAACTTGCCCTCAGCCGGCTAATGCAGGGCAGGCGTGGCTGCTGTGCATGTGCTGGGGTTTCCACGTGCATGAAGCCGGTATTTATAGAAACACTCTTACAGAACGAGTTTACCACATTACACAGAACTCCAGCCACATTGTCTTTTCATGTTATAGACAGGCCTACGTGACGCATAAGGAGCGGCTTCATTTGTAGTTTGGCTTTTAGTAAAGAAGAGAGATTAAATATAGGTCTCTCAGTGCGCTCTAACTGCTCAGTATGATGGACCCTGGATCCCAGTGTAAAACAGGATACGTGCTTTTGATGCATGTATCAATGTCATTTTTCTTTTGACTTTAGTTTGGATTTGTCTTAAAAATATTTGGTACATTTTGGGCTGAAACTATTAAATAAATGAAAATAAATACATTACCCAAAACTCAAC